TATTAATTTTGAAATCTAACTAATAGCTACTATGTAATCTTATGTAGATTATATTTTGACTAAATTAACCTTTTTTTTTTTTAATAACTAGAATGTTAATGACGAGAGGGAATGGAAGATGGGATATTGTGAATTTGGGAGAGAAAATAAGAGCAATTTATTGTGTAAAAGGGAAAGCATTTTTGGGAATGAAAGAGAGATATAAACGGAGGAAATTTGAAGGGGAGAGAAACCAATTTTTTTCAAAATTTGAGTTTTTCGTTGGTAATTCCGTAACTTTTTTTTTAAGGAATTTTTTCGGGAAACCAAATTTAAAAAAAAAATGGAAGGATTTTTAATATATGTATATATATATATATATATATATATATATGATTCCAATTGAATTACCTACGAAAATAATTTAAAAATAATAATTGAATTTTCATCAGTAATTCCCTCAGAACTTAGTGATGGAATTACTAACCGAAGTAATTCCATCACTAATTCCGTAGGTAAAAAATAGTTTTCTTGCAGTGATCTATGTCTATGAAAATTGAACTTCATAATTAATTTAAACAAATTGAAAAATGGCCAGCCTTTTTAGCCCAGTTTTGGAGTGCATATTTCCATCATTAAATTCTAGATTAATTTTGAAGAATCGATTTGTCTTCCTAACCAGAAAACTAACATGAAATGTTCATAAAATATTTATTAATTACATCTGAGAATTTTTGTAGTCAATTCATAAATATTTTGACCATTTCCTAGTTTTTTGAGTTAGAAAAAGAAAAGTATTCTGATGTTTAATCTCAAAATTTGAACTAAAAAAATATCAAAGGGAGGTAAAAATAGAAAAATTAAAATCAAATATTAAGATATATGAAGAATTAATCGTATTGAAATCTTATTAATAAACTTAAAATCAATGTTTTAAAAAATAGTTACAATGAATGAATAAAAGGGCAGATGAATCTTAAATAAGGCTTTAATATAAAAGAATTAAAAAAAAAAAAAACAATACAGAAGAAAGAGAATCTAAAAGAGAACTAGTATGCAATACAAATTATTTTTTCTACTTTCCTCTCTTAATATATATGCTAACAAACTAACTCATTTCGATCTTTTATAACTAAATCAACAACTATTTTGAATCAACTATTTTGTAACGTTGTGTGAGCTTGCATTATTGTAATCATGCTCTGAATCTTTTGTTATTCTAGCGTGATATATACTTTTTTGTTGGAAAAACTTCTTAATAATAACATAGTTAGACAAAACACGTATTTATTAGGAATACAAAAAATAAGTAGAAAATAAAAAAAAATAACAATAATTACTAGCGTCTGACCTTCCTCCATGGTAAATCCTTACTTGTTTTAAATTAAAAGAAAAAATTGCATATCTATTTTTAATTTCCTCTAAAATTTTAATTGATTTAATAACGTAACAAATAATTTATCTAGTTAAATCAATTGAGAATATCGTTTTGATAAGTTTTTGTTGCAATCCTGAAATAAATAATGTTACCAATTTAGTTTGCAATATAAATAGGTTTATACTCAATAATTAAAAGTTCTAGGAATTAAAATTAAAAAGCATATATTGTGAAAGCAAGAAAAGTTTTTCATTTATAGTTATTAGTCATAATAATACTTGCACAACATTGAAAAAGTGTGAGTTTATGTCGTTTTGGTTAAATTATTGTGCACGTAAAACACAAATGAATTTGGATGTTTGTTAGAATTTGCAGATATCATTTGTGATGAATGTATCTAAATGTTGCTTCTTAAATATTATTTTTTATTCGATGGTAATGGTTTTATCGGATTACTTTGTACCTGAATTAAAATTAAGTCTCTTTCAAGATAATATTAAGAACACACCTCTATATCAATTTAGTATATTAATAAGAATTTAATAAATTCTCCTGAGTACGTTCATGGTTTTATTTTGTTAGATTTTTTATGCAAATTAAGAAAAATACCGTTACACATTAAACTCAAATATCCCCTATTTATTAAAAATAATAAATATGAAAAAAAAATGAATTTTAATATGATATGATAATTCATCTTCTTTTTTCAAATATAAGACCGTTTTAGCAAATTTATAAACCGAGCCATGATTTTTCAGGAAGGGTATATCTTTCTAAGAGAAGCCCTTTACGAAGGGATAAAGATAAATAAGTCACTCAAGAGTATTGGTTTAAGTGAAAGAGGCTTTAGTAATTTAAATAAATGATTTTGTATTCAAGTTTTTATGTATGTAAAAAATTATCTAAATAATTGTTCATTTTTTTTGTGTTCCAATAGCGAAAGATTAGTCTCAGTCTTTGAACTTAGGATATACTCTGAAAAACAAAAGAAGAAGAAGAAGAAGATAATTAAGCCAAAATAAGGGTTTTCAAGCATCTGAATTGGTCAGCCAGATTTGGTCCTAGACAGCAAGCAGCCAAGTGCAGATGCTTTAGCTGGTTTTTGTTATCTGCCAAAATCTCTCTCCTAAATACATAGTTTTCTTCCATTTTTGAACCAAACTTACCATCATTGAAGTTATACCAGTCACTTAGTTTGTCACAGTATACGTTCAGAGATATCCTTTAGCACCCATTCGAATAGCGAAACTGACCCATCGATCAATGTCATCCTTGTTAATCCCTTTTACAAATTTCTCCCTGTGCTCTTCACGATTACAGACTTCCTTAAACTTGTCATTGTCGCCCGCCACGAACATGCTTAAGAGATTAAAATTAAGCCTAAGCAGAGATAATGAGACATTGTTGATCAAAACTTGGATGATGACTTCAACATTGTTGATCAAAAGGCTATAGTTTTGGCTATAGATTTAGGAGGTTTAAGCTAAAACCATAAGTTGAAACCCTAAATGGTTTAAAGAAGATAAGAAGAGATGAGTAATAAAGAAGAAAAGGGATGAGAAACGGATAGGATATTACAGAAATAGAAGGGAGAGAGAATTAGAGAGGAAGAAAGAAAGGGAAGAGTATCAGATTTTGTTTAATTTATCATTTTTTTTTGGGTAATGCTAGAGGTATTTAAATTTTTTACAATTGTTTTAATTAAATGATGTAGCATTTATTATAGAAAAAGGTTTTCAAATTATAAAATATAAATCTTATTATATTTAGTGATGCAATTACAATTATAAAATATATTAATTAAAGAATTACCAATAATATGTAGACAGATTATACATGTACATGATACAACACAAGAAACTCTTGGATCAATTGGGTCTACTGTGTACTTCTGCTATAAGATCTAATATAATGGCCCAAAAGAAGCCCAACAAAAGAGTTAATACCTCATATGAGTCTCCTAATAGCCCTTTTAGTTAGAGGTGTTGAACCGAAAAAATCGAAATATCAATTTTAGTTAGATTTTTTACTCAATTTTTTTTTTAAAAAAACGATTTTTTCCCATTTTTTCTGTTTTATTTATGTTTAAAATGAAAATAAAAATTTTATTTTTTTTATTTTTTTAATTTATTAAAAGTTTTAAAATAATGAAAATAAATCAAAAACTCAATAGCTTAATATTGTTATAGATATATGATGGATTGAAGATTTTTTTTTCTATTTATATTATTTAATAAATTAATTAATAAATCAATTTTTAAAAAATAAAAATTTGAGTTAAATCAAAAATTTCGTTTTTTAACGTAAAAAACCGAATTTCTATTGGTTTCTGTTTTTAATTTTATAAATTTGATTAATCAAAAACCAAACTAAAATATTACAAAACTGAATGAACACTCCTACTTTTAGTCTCATTAATCTTAAATTTACCAAGTCCTGAAGGCACAAAGAAATTATTAGATATATCAAAAATTGTGTTTCTTTATGTCTTTTTTAACTAATTTTAAAGAAATTATTAAATATATTAAGAATTGTATTTTATTATGTCTTTTCTAATTAATCTTAAATTTATCAAATTCTAAACGTGTAAAGAAATTATTAGATATATTAAGAATTATATTTCGTTCTCTTACAAAAATATAACATCTATTATAAGAATAATTCATAACTATAAAATACCCAAGTATCAATAAGTTAGACAAATTAAATCAATAAACCTTTGGTCTAGTGGTAGCAGGTTTTTTTGTACTCATAAGAAATTCCACGTTCAACTCATCCTTTTGAAGTATTTGAATTTTAAAATAAATAAATAAAATAAAATAACTCTTTTATTTTTACAGTGATAGTTAGCCAATTTAATTTGATCATGATAAGATGTTTCCCTCTCATGTCGTGCTAACTACTAATGCTAACCTCTTAATCCTAAAAATTCAAGGATTGAAGCATTTTTATATTCCGACTATACAATTTGTCCTTGCCCGTGTCTTAGACTTGAAAAAATTGGGTTAAGTTAGAAATTAAGCGACTCTTCCACATGCACTCTCTCCGGTTATTTTAATAAAAATATACCATTGAGGAAAGGTATATAGATAATAGATGGGAGACCCAATTGATAAAATCAATAGTTCGAGGACTAATCTGAGGCTTGACTTTTCTTTTATTTTCCACTTAATGGGAAGTTCAATTTCAATTCTTATCAATTTCATCCTTCTCCGCGTGGTGCTGTTTAGCCCTTGTTTTTAACTGCGATCAATGCATCTTCTCAGCTATATATATATATATATATATATAAAGAATACCAGAGAGGTGAAATCATGCAGTTAAAGGCATGCTTACTTTTGCATTAATCATTTGCCCTAAATCAATCCATACTTTAAATACACAAATCTCCCTTCTTCAGATCAATTTTGGCTTGGTGCCTGCTGCCTAGCAGACAATGACAAGAATAAGGAGAAAGGAAAATATAGAAAGACTCCTATGGATGAAACAAGAACGATATGATGGAAGAAAAATGCAGTTTCTATTTGCCAAATGAATTTATTTACAGCATACACAAACAAAACTTGAGATCAATCATGTAGCTACGTACTGTTATTTGACTGGTTCTACACTTCCCCACCTAGGGCAACTTTAACAACCAATTTTAAGCATTACCTTCTAGCAAACATTTGAGATTCTGGAGTCCCTCAGTGGAAATGCTCCGCATGACTCTCGCCTTCTGTACCAACACCGGTGGCGGTGGCTCCAAGTGAAAACTAACAATTACAACTGTCAAGTTGTCAATTGCTCCCCGTTTTAATGCTTCCCCTATCATTTCTCTGCAGCACTGCTTCACATCATTGTGCTCTTGGAGTCTTTTCCGAACAAAATCTACAGCATTTTGGTTTGAGTATACATCCCATATTCCGTCGCTTCCTATTATTAAAAACTCATCTTCCCTGGTCAGGGTAACCAATTTAAGTTCTGGTTCAGCACTCAAGGGACCACTCTTGTCACCCTTTTTCTTCAACCCTTCCAGGTGCCAGTCACCTAATGCACGGGTAACACCTAACAGGCCATTTAGATAACCATCATCAATGTATCCACCTAAGGACTCAATTCTACTCCTTTCTTTAACGCAACAAGGTCTATGATCCTCCGACATTTCCTTAGCTATCCCACCACGTGATAATACTGCCCGACAATCACCAGCATTTGCCACGAGTAATGACCTGTTCAAGATGAAGATGTTTGTTTTAAGACAACAGACCCATTTCATCAGAAGACATAATTGCAGAATGCCAATATAAGATAATACTGATGGAATGGAGAAATTTCTAACAAGGCAAGATCTTTAGGTCTCATTGCAGATCTTTAGGATCAGAAAGCTATAATTGGGTCATCATTACCCTTTACCTTAACAACTATAGCTCATTCACGACTGTTACTAAGGACAGGATGGGCTCGAAGTCAGAAACAGGCTGAACAGAAGGGATGGAACATGCTAGAATGTCCTGAATAAACCATAGGAAGGAGATGACTGACCACAAAAGAAGGATAGGAAGTGCTTACCTCCCGAATATCATCGCAGTAAGAGCAGTAGTGCCAGAAGAACGGCCTGACTCAAGGGAGCATGAGTTTTCGAATGCAGCATCAGTCTCAATGAACGACTTTGTAACCACTTTCTCAAGTTTTACAGGGAAATCAGCATCCGCAACAATGACTCTTGGCAAATGCTCACGGACAAAATGTGCTGCACTCTTTCCTCCATGCCCATCAAATACCTGTTTTCCAAGAACATTTAATTGTCAAAATATGAATGAAAATTTTCCATTGATTATTGCTTGTATAGGATTGTTGGCTTTCTACTACTGAAGTATATATGCAATGCAATCACATCTTTTCTGTTTCCAGATACGCAAAGTTTCAATGAGAGAGCTATTCTTGGTGTCAGGTCAAGATTCTTGAACTTTGAATCAACTCAGATGAATTAACAAGCAACAGTATTACTTCCTTTTACGGTTGCTTTATTGAAAATCTAGCTTCGGAGCCTCTGCTGTATGCTACAATCAATCACCAAACGCCATACACTAAGAGAATTCGCATCCACACACCCTAAATCTAAATATAGATGGGTGGTTCCTAGTCCTTCTTAAAACACGACCAACATCTGATCATTAATTCCGAAGATGGATTCGAGCCATAATAACGGCTCCACAGCAGCCTTGAACTAAACCTGTCAGTTTTGCATGCGTAGGATATGAAATGGTGATGATTGCTTTCCCATATAGATAATAACCCTCTAGTTTCAAATTTCTAGCAAAACTACAAGAGTGAAAACGTTGAGGAATAATGTCCTTATTCAGGGAGCATTATAACCTTTAATAAAGAAAACACTGCTATCAAAAACTCGTAAACCACATGAAGCTTTAGGTCCCTTTTGCAGCTTTGTAATTTCAGAGTAGTGCTTAAGCTGATAGAGACTATCAATTTGAGGACTTGCTGCTTTTGTAGCATTGCTTTAAACACAAGTATGATGGCAGAAGATGGGACATAAAACACAGGTTTAGTATGGTGATTGAAAACAGTGGCAGCTTCAGATTTTCAAGTTTAAAGTGATCCTAAAATTAATTTGAAGTGAGAAGCTCCAAAAGAGGCTGGGTTGATACCAATTTGAAATCTGAATGGGGCCGTGAAGGAAAATGGTCTTGGGCCTTTTATTTTGGTATTGGTGCTTGGCTTCTTTGGAATCAGAGGAATGCTATTGTTTTAAAAGAAGAGCATTTAGAAAGCAAGTCTTCAATCCTTCAGGGTATTCACTATGTCAAGGAAGTTATGCAGACTATGGGGTTGGAAAGTTCTTTTTCTGTGGCCCCAAAGTTGCGGATTTAGAAACTGATTCGTTGGTTTCCTCCAGATTCGTTGGTTTCCTCCGGATATGGGTTGGGTGAAGATCATCATAGATGGATCAGTTAGGCAGACTGTACACAGGAACGTGGCTGGGCAGTTTCGTGTGTCGCATTGGTACCTGCAGGATTATGGGGCATTTATGAACGTTTGGAAAGCTTACCTGCAATCTAGGTTATCGACGACTGTTCTAGAAACTGATTCTCTATTGGCAATTCATATGGTGTACGTGGATCTATACTGCCAAATGAGACTCCCCATTAGCTTTTGCAAGGTGTCTTCTTGCTAGAAATTGGGTAGAAAAGCTTTTTCCATGTCTATCATGAGGTAAATGCAGTAGCTAATTGGCTGACAAATCATGCTCATGGAGACTAGATCTTGGTTTCTTTGTCCTCCATGATCTCCCTACTGGCTGTTCTAGTTTACTGTTAGGCTAAATTTGGAGAGTCATGTTTACTCGAAATCGTCCGAGGTAGCTTTCCCGTTTCTTCCTTTTTGTAACCAAGAATAAAATAAAATGATAAGCTCTATTTCAGATTTTAGACTAAGTAATACTTCCTAGAACCTTCACAATTACCATCACAATCATAAGTTCAGCAAGAGAAAAGCGAGATCAAGACAACTTCATTGTCCTCCAAGTCAACCTGGTCTTCCATAAAGGTATTCCATGGTGAAATTTGTAAATCAGAAAAGCAAAAGAAGCACAAATCCTAAAATATTGCTACCTAGGAACTAGAAGGACAAAAGGTGTGATTTTTCATAATCGAACAGAAAGCATGAGTAAAGATAAAATGCTTGGCAAGGACCAAAACAACAGCAGAAAATTCATTAGCAGATAAATGACAGAATAGGACATTAACTTACACCATAGAAAGAAATAGCTTGCTCACTGAGTAAATTGTAACCAAACTTCTTAGCCAAGTCACCAATGCAAATGTGCGTATCTTCCATATAAGGCCGACCACCAATATCAGACCATTCTCCTGAGCGAAGGGTGGGAAAAAAGTCTGTTAACAGATTCTGTTTCCTTTCTGTGGCCACTCTATCCTCACTAATGCTTTCCAGCTGAATAAGCCACCACAAACAAATAAAACTAGATGAGATAACAGAAGAACAAATAGTGATGAAGATAAATATTCCATAAAAAGCTATAAAATCAATTATACATATGTATCTGGCCAGTCTTGGGCTCTCGGAAGTCGCAACCAAAGAGAAAGGAATATGTGACGGTAATAATACTCATGATTAAGTACAAATTCAAGACCTCTATATAACAAAAACGAGATTATGGACATAGGAAGGTATGAAATGATTGATCATTAAGAATCAAGACAGGGTTCCTACAAACAGTTTACAAGATACTATAAAAAAAAGTTCAATCAGGGTTGGTATGACAAATTGACAACCACTCCTGTTCTTTGATTAATACCAAAGTCACTCGAGAAATTGGAGGTACAAAGATTCTCTCTCTTTCACTGTCTATCTACCTATCTCCCCATGACAACTATCAGTCCAAGCAGAATAGTAAACAAGTCAAGGGAATATATGAAATAAAATTATTTACCAAAGAAAGCAGTACCATGCAGGTGGTGAAGAAAAGGAAAACAAAAAGAAAAAGAAAAGTCATAGCACAGTAACTAGCTCATTGAAGCAACAAACAAGAAAATTTTTAGAGCGCAGCAATAAAGCAGGAAAAGTATTGTATCCACACATCTCCAAAAGCCCACCAAATCCATGAGCCAGCAACAAAATCATAATTACACAACCATCTAAAAGTCTGAAACTTTTTAGAGCAAATAAGGAAAAAGAAATTAGAAGGAAACACTAAATATGGATCATCAATAACTTCAACAGCTTCGGAAAAAAATAAAAACATATAAACAAATTCATTAACAAAAACCAAAGCCATAGCATTAATGAACAGATAGCTAGCATGGAGTCAACAACTCAATTCTAACCAAACTGGTCTTCAAAGGAAACAGCATAATTCAGAACAAAAACATGCACAGACAAAAACAAAAAATCACAACTTTGGAAAACAGTAAATCAATTCTACCAAAAAAAAAAAAAAACAGCAGCACAAACAAGGACAAACAAAACAGAAAAAGCCCAACTTGGGAGAGAAAGAAAAGAATTCTTACAGGATGAGAGTCGGCAATACTAATCCCACCACTAGAACTAATCAAAGAAGAGTCTTGATCAAAATTCTCCATCGGGGTTTGCAAGAGGTCACAATGCAAAGGCCAAGATTGCATCTTGTTGTTGCTATTGTTGTTATCATTGCTATTATTATTTTCAACTGGGTTCTCCATTTCTTGCTCTGCATCCTTTACACACATGGTTGTCGTCAATATTATTATTATGCTGGTGACAGAGAAAAAAAAAGGGAAAAAAGAAGACTTTTTAGAGTCTTTAGCAACTAGCTGTTGTCTTTGTGGGAATCCAAAGTAACAACAACATGCCACAGATGAGATAAAAGAAGGGCAAAAAAAAGAAGGTAGAGAAAGAGAGAGAACCAAAGAGAAAAAACTCGGATGACAGAGAGAGATGGAAGATTCTGTGGAATATGTCCAAGATGGGGATGATAAAATGGAGGCTGATGGCTTATGTTCTATGGAGGAGTTGTTGAGGTAGGGAGGGGAGAGAGAATATAAATAAGGGCCGTTAAATTCCAGATTTTTCTAAGAAAGCGTGGCTGAAAATCAGTTGGTCATGTTGTTGTTGTTGTTGCTGCTGGTGTTGCTGACTTGCTGTTGCTGTACTATTATTTATTTTCCAACGTTGTTCTTATGGGCATCACGGATGCATAAAATAAAATCTTCTATTATGTCTGTTTTTTCCTCATATACTAAAATGCCCCTATAGCTATGATGGTGGCTATTTATGATGATTATATTTTAATTTAATATAAACACTGGTAATGAAATGAGATTTTTGTTAGAAGGAAAAACAAAAGAAGAATTGTAGAGGTTTCAATACAAATACATAGTTTTACCAATATATATACAAATACATGGAAGGACTACTATGGCATAATCACTAATATCATGGAACTGCTACATCTCTATATTTATCCATGCCAAAATTATTTGTTGATTCATGTTAAGATAGTAGAGTTTATATCATTAATATTTAAGGAAGTTGACGGTTAAAAATATATATTTATATTTAACAATAAAGATATTTTTAAATTAATTTTTATATATCTTGAGATTAATATGTTTTTATACGTAGTTAAATAGCATTCTTCAACGTATGATTTTGAGTATTCGAATATATATATATATATATATATATCTTAAATTCGGCTAAAAAAGTAAAATCGTGATTAAATTTTTAATTTAATCATAATATGTTTACATTCGATCAGAAAAATATATATTATTAAATATAAAACGAAAATAAAATAAAGAATTTTATGTCATTGGTGGTGATTGATGTTGCCACCTCATTACTAATTTGTTATTAATCCAAGATGGAATGGATCCCCACTTGACATTATAATTTTGGCAATTATAATGCCACATATGTGAGGGGTATTCTGAAGTGAGCATTGTTGTTTGAATTTTTTCGTAAAGTTTAAAGAAAAAGAATAAAAAAGTTTTTTTGTCCCATAAATTCCACATACGATGGAAATCCAATAATTCAATGAACTTGTAAAGTCGATCATTTGGATAAGTAAGGGGCCAAATCCTTACCATGAAATTTCATTTCACGAAAGTTCATGGAAGGAAGGTTCCTGTTTTTGTCAAAATCAACAGTACATATTCTTTTTTTATGGCATGGGTTACAGACCAGCTTCATCTTTTGAGGTGACTGCTTTCACCCAATTCAATCAGACTATACATTTCATGAAAACAAGCTTAGATGATATTGAAATCATTTATTATTTTTTTTGGTTTATCTGCATAATATCTCGAATTAATTATATATAAGTTATAAATTAATTCTGATAGAAATAATTTCTTAAAGTGACAAGAGCAAGACATTTTCCCTATTTTCTGCTCTACATGATCGAAAGATTGCCAACACGATGATTCTTATGAAGAAATTAAAGTAATATGAGATTTTCTTCGAAGAACATCATTATCTTATTATGATTTAGACCATTATCATTCTTCAATTACATTGTTGAGGGCATCAATTAAGAGACAATGGACCAATTTCACCTTTATATACCATCAAGATAGGCCCTTGTGGAATTTACTTGCATCATTCTTAGTCAGATTCAACAAAAGTGAAATGGCCATCATTGTTCATTTTTAAGAGCTACATCAACGTTGTTAATGATTGCAACCAATTAAGCTACTAAAATGTTTTGATATACCATTTTCTTTTTTGTCAAATAGGAAGAGATCAATTGATTTTAATATTTTATAAAATAATTCTCTATGCTAATGACAAGTTACATCATGGGGTTTGGTTTTTTTAATTGGTAATAATTGCTAGAGAGATTGGAAAATGGGATGTTAGGAAAACCGGATTTGATTGGTTAGTGTGTGAAACTAGAAGATACTTGATAAAATGGCAAGATGATGCAAGACAATGACTTTAGATTTCCCTTTTGCTTTCTACAAAAGGTAGTGAGTGACTCACACCATTTTCTTTCTCTTTTATAAAATATCTTTATCTTTCGTATTCATAGTTAAAAAGATCTTTGCAATCGATGCCAAAATGGTCCTAACCAAGAAACAAAGAGTTCACATCCTACGCTACCTTGCTTGTCTGTTTTGGCAATTTAAAAAGTCCTACTTTTCATGAAAATGCATTTCCACTGGCTCACAAAGGTCATAATTATTTGCAGAGAAGAAAACAGGAAACTTCACATATTCTTCTTAGCAAAGAAAGCAGGATATTATTTTGTCCAAAAAGAATGCAAGAGTGATAGGCTACTAGGTAGCTAGCTCCCATTGTGTGGTTTGGAATGGAACGCAACTTTACAATAACAAAAAGGAAACGAAAGAAAGGTTAGGCAAAGCTTAATTGCTTGTATGATAATTACAAATCTTTTTGTAGCACTTTACATGGTCAAATCCAAAAATGGAGCCACTTTCATTGGTTTATGAATTTGTTGACGAAAGGAACCGTTTTGGTTGCCTTATACGGTGACCCTAAGGAGGGTCATTTAGTGGAGTAACGTGTCATAAATGGATCCATAAAATAATGAATTAGTGTTGTGGAAGCATGAGGCATATTGTCATGTTTTCCCTTTCAAACCCACACATTTGTTCACGCTTTAAAGATTCATGATTTGTTTTCTTTCAAGATATGCCAAAGAAGTTTCGATGGAATGGATGATTTAAGTTACGCAAAAATTGGTGAGAAGAATTAATTAATACACAAGGAAGTTCATTGAATTTTCTGTAAATATAGTAATTTTTTTAACAATGAACCCTAAAATTATGACTACGACAAGGTTTTCTCCTGTATTATTTGGTTTCAATATAAATTTAATGGAAGAGTACACAAAAAAATTATTATCAAGACAAACACAAAGTGAAGTAGATTATCTAAAAAGGAAGAATTTTATTAAATTTAAAAAAAAAACACAAGAAAGGTGAAAAAGTGATGGTCCAGTTAGACCAGCCCATTAAGCCAAATGGATCCCGATGGCACCGACCCGTTATCCTTCCACTGCCAAGAGCGGGAGGTGGTCGCTGCTCTGTGAAACCAGCCTCACGCTGTGCCCTCCACTCTAAGAACCATGCCACCCAAGTCTTCACTAGGGTGCCATGGCTCAACTCCTGGCTTGGAACGGGCGGGGCCAGATTACAGCCAATCCGAACCCAGCTCTCTGAGCATAGTCAACTATCCCATCACTTCAAAGCCCCCACTCGGGTCACAAGCCCACGTTACCGAGCTCAGCTGGTCCGCAACTCATTAAATGAACTTTATAAAGGTTTTATATTATTTGTTCTTTTCCGATGTGGGATTTCTTTGTCTCTTCTGTCTTGGAGTCTACGCTTGACTCTCATTTTACATCAAATCAAAAAGGGAGATGGAGAAAATCTGGTCAGAAAAAAAAAAAAAATGCTATATTGAAAAAGAAAATGATAAGATGTTGAACAAGAATTAAATTGAATGTGTTAAAGATGAAATGTCAAGTTTATTGCTCAAAGTTTCACAATTCATTGTATTGCTTCAATTTTGGTGAAAGAAGATAAACAAATGGACCACGATTTATATCCACTTTCGACGGAAAATGCCAAAGTGATTTACCGATTACAAAAGCTAACAAAGAAGGGAAAGTAGAACATGAAATCACTGTATCTGAATTAAGACAGGATTTATTGGTCTTTATCAGGACTGGATGAGTGGAAGGGCTGAAATTGGTGTCCATTATTAGTCCTGCAAAGGGTATCTAAGGGAGCTAAGGTTGCATGATTAGTGATCGATAGCAACAAAACCTAAAGTAGATCTAGTCCTGATGGATGGGACAGTTTATACTGTGTAATGACCACAAACAGAAAGCAAGAATCTAGTAAGCTCACATCTTGATCAAAAGCTCTAGGCCAATCTCTCAAAAGGGAAAGGAGAGAGAGAAAATAATCAGGATAGGAATTCATTCATTAAGGTCTTATTGGACTGCTGTTAATTACAGAATGGATTTAAGCCAAAATATGTTTCAAATAAAATAGAATTAATACCCTTGTTTATTCTTATACAGTAAACTATTTTTTAAAAAAATATATTCTTACATTTTAAGAAGTTTACAATTTATATTTATTATTTAAAGTGATTTTTAATTTACCTTTTTTAGTTAATTTTTCAGCCGAATTAAACATATGATTTGACACAATTGATCCATATCTACTAATATAAAAATTAATTTATGATGGTTATAAATCAATAAAAATAGATTGAAAATATTTTAAAATTTAAAAAAGAATTGATTTATTGAATAAGAATATGTCAAAGTGTTAAACCAATAAAATACCACTCTTTCTGCAATAAAATATGATAACTAACCAAGAAATAATATGTTCAATTCCAACGCTGCCTCCATTGTTGAAAGAAATAAATTTCCTTCGTGAAAATCATGATCATGAAAACATGTCTTTATGGTCAAAGCCAAAAAAAAAGTCATTTTCGTTAGTTTATGATTTTATTGACAAAGGAGTAGATTTGGTGGACCGACAGGTGACATGCCATATTTTGATCCGTTAAACTATGGATCACATGTTGCTTCATTGCACAAGAAGCAAGCATTTGGCAAATTAAGCTAATCGGAGAGAAGAATTATTAAAACGTTATCCTTTCAATGCTAGGAGAGGGATGTGGTTGCTGCTCTATGAAACCAGCCTCACGCTATGCCACCCAGGTTTTCATCAGGATGCCTTGGCTCAAATCCAAGCTTGGAATGGGGCAGCCAGAATCAGGCTAAACCAAACCCAACTCCCTGGGCTCTGGCAACATTCCATGACTTTTGAGCTCCCACTAGGGTCACAAGCCTGCGTTGCCTAGCTCAGCCGCTCAGCGAGTGTAACCATGTGAAATATACGGGGTCAATATAATTTATTTTTTTCCGATGTGGGATAAATTTTTTGATATGCTTGAAACTCTCTCATTTTACGCCAAACCACAATTGAGATGGGGTAAATCTTGGCGTAAAAGGTAACGGGTTGAGAAAGTAGAGGATAATATGCTAAACTAATATTAAATTGATTGTGTTAAACAGGTTACTAGTGGGATCATTAAACATTTGGAAAGCAGGTCCAGTGTCAGCTTCATGATTCTAAGTTTCAAAATCATCAGCCTCACAGCTCATAGTTTGCCTCAGTGTTTGGTACAAGATGCCATTCTCCACTTTTAATGAAGGATTTGGCACCAGAATGCCAAATCCATTACAAACGATAAACAAAAAGAGAGTGCGTCATGAAATCACTAGCTCTAATTTAAGGCATAATTGGTCTTTCTCAGTAATGGAGTTCTAGAAGGGCTGAAATGCCATGTCCACGGGAGGAGGAGCTAAGGTTGCATCATGCATGATTAATGAATCAATAGCAACACAAATTATGCCCCTTTCAATTCTGGAATAAGTTTTTGATTGTGATTGGTAGAACCCAAAAAAAAAAAAAACAAAAACCATACTGCTCATGATATCACAATCTACCAGAAGAGAAAAAGCCAAAATCTTGTAAGCACATACCTACCTGCGAATTCGAGAGAGAGAGAGAGAGAGAGAGAGAGAGAGAGAGAGAGAGAGAGAGAGAGACCATGCCTTGATCAAAAGATATCTAGGCCAATCTTTCAAGAAAGGAAAACGGAAAAAAACACACAAAAGAAGAAATCTTTCGTTTCATTGTTGAAAAAATGATAAGAAACCATTACGTCAGTAGTTCGTCCTGTACTGCGTGTCGAAAATATGATCAAATAAGTTAGAAATGCTAGTGGTGGATACAGAAGCCTATCTAGCGGGTCAATTTTGCTGGTCCTCTACGACAAACATCAATCTTTTCTGGAATATTCTTCTTTTCTTTTTAGAATTTTTTTCTGACTTCTATTTTTTGGACACTACTGGGAAACCACCGGTAACAGAAGTGACAGACAATCTATCATCTATGTCACAAGGGAGAGGAGAGGAATTAGTCAAAGCTACCAAGTTACCCTTCAATCGATAATGTTCAAATCCTTCAACCAGCACACCCATGGCCCCTAGCCAGTGTAGACATCCGACACTGTCACAAGACTAAGAAGCTCAAACATGAGGTCTTTTGCAAGAGAGATATGACAGCCAATTCGGCTATAAATTCATTGCCCCACAGAGAGGTACACACGAAGCTAGCCATCCAACGAAAATATTCAAGACCTAGCAAAAACTACCTAATCAAGACCCAAGAAAACAAATCACAAGCCCCAAATCAAATCACCAAACCTTCCTTCTATCAGTAGTAAGGGAGGGAGTAAGGGACTGCAAATCAGTTAGCAATTGCACGCAACTCACAAGCCACTGCAACTTCTGCAGTTCAAAAAAGATTAAATTACATAAATTCAAAAGTTTGAATATTTGTCAGGAACAATTAAAAAAAAAAAAACTACAAAATCCCACTTTTATACCCAAAGTACTCTTAACTACTATAAAAAATCTAAAACTTTAAATATGGGAGAAGGCTATAAACATAACACAAACAAAAATTAACAAAAAGTAAATGACTTTATCTACCAAAAAATTATGATGACAATTTAATAGATATTTCTTCTATAATTTATTAATTTTTCAATATACCTTTTTTCAATTTAACTATCTTTTAAATAATAATTAAAGACATTTTGAATAGAGGTTTTTTTTTCAAATTTGGACGGTAAATGTTTACTATACTTCAAGGAGGTTATTGTAATCTACCCTTAAAAATATCAGTAACCAACAAAGAAACCCAGCATCTTCTCCATGTGAAATTAGATGCCAGCATCAAATGAGCACCTCCATCGGAAGCTCTGATGAAAGAAGATTGCAAGGAAGCAGAAGAGCACAGCTTACAGGTGCCTAAGCAGTCATTCATGATCTAAATATCATGTAATATATACCCTGCTTAAAGCTTCGATTTACTAAATCACTAAGATGAAGCAACAAATTCCAATACTATTGAAAGAGTAGCAGTGGTATCTTCAACAATTATCATTTAATTGATAACATGAAAAGAAAAAAAAAAAAAAAAAAACCCAAAAAAGCATCTCATTCTCCATTCGCTGTCAAACTAGATGCTGTTCAAAACTTCAGGAGTTGCCTCTTACATGACAAATCACCCTAAAACCATTATGGCTGTAAAACCCACATACACAAAAAATGGAAGTTAAACCTCACATCCCTGTGAAGGCCTTCTTCCCACCAGCAGAAGAACCAGCAGGAATCACTTTCAACACATTAAATCTCACAGTCTTGGACAGTGGCCTGAAATGGTAAGAGCATGAAAAAAAATTATGAATTGAAGATCAAAACCACATATATAAATATATATGGAATTAGGGTAAAAACTTACCTGCATTGCCCGATGATAACATGATCGCCTTCCTTCACACGGAAGCATGGGGATACATGTGCTGGAATATTTGAATGCCTCTTCTCGTATCTGAGGAAAAGAAAAGGAATAATATTTAACCTTGCTGAGTGATAATATGCATTGAAAAACATCAAAACTAAAGTTAGACTAGACCTTTGGTATTTCTTGACCCAGTGAAGATAATTCCGCCGGACAATGATGGTCCTCACCATCTTGGCACTATGACAAGTTCCAGCTAAGATACGACCTCGGATAGAAACAGTTCCACTGAAGGGGCATTTCTTATCAATGTAAGTTCCTGTCAATAGCAAACACGAGAATATAATGTCAGAAAATTTCACATCCTACAAAACTATCATGTGGAAGGGTTAACGTTTTTCTCTCCAGTAATATGCAAAAGCACATGAAGTGGAGTAAAAATGTAAATCAGGTTGCAAACAAAGAACTTGGCATATGCGACAACGGATGGAAAGATAACAAGCAGGGCAACATATCAACGGCATTTCAAAAGAAACACTGCTGGCCATGGCACTCTGAAATATGTAATTCCTACATATATGATTTTTCCAAAGCCTTCAATAACTATTTAAAGTCCATATCATCATCAACAAGGTTCTTATTCCTCCAGATCACACACTGACTGGTAACAAAGCAAATGTAATAGTTCCTTGTCCTACATTCTTTACAAATTTGAACTACTCATAATTCAAAGTCAGATACCAAGAGCTTTTTTTCATGTAACCCTAAAGACCATGGTTTCCTAAATCTCCTACTTTTGACTGCATAATATAGAAGCTAAAATCAACTACTTATCCTCATATACTAACCAATTTGTCCAGCAAATAAACTAGTCCTTAATTCTTGCTACACAAACTGCACAAATCTATATCTATGACAATAAAAAAAGTTAAAACATAAATGTAATATATTTATATTTACAACCCAATAATCAAAAGACAAATCTTGGCTAATTGACTTGACATCCGTTAAAATTAGTGCATACGACTAGAATAACACATAAAGCTAAATGCGCATACACATACAATAAGAAGTGTAGTAATAATACAAGAAAAGTCAAACCTTCAATGGCCTCTCTGGGAGTCTTGAAACCCAATCCAATATTCTTCCAGAATCTGTTTCCACCTTTCCCAGGCCTCTTTCCTTTCCCAGATTTTTTTGAACTGCCAAAAAGACAAAAAATAAAAAAATTCAGAAACACAAGAGAACCAAAACGCAAATCAAATAAGAACACGCCAAAACAGAAAGTCTGCTTCTATTATTGTTCTAATACATTACCTGAGAAACACTTTAGGTTGCTTTAAAAATGCCTTCTCAGTCTACAACAAAGAAATAAAGAAACCACAATGAGGGCCCATAAAAAGATGTATAAAGAAACGCTTTGGAAGTAGAAGCAGTAGTGAATGAAAAGAGAATGTGTGTGAAGAAAACCTGCTCAGCCATGATTAAAAGCTGTTTGTTTTCTCTCTAGAGAGTTGAAACGGCAGAAGGAGGCGAGAGACACGAAAGAGAAAGAGCTCCCTCCGCTGAAACGAGAAAGCTTTAAACCTAGTTTGCTGACATTTAATGTAATAGCTTGTGTTAAAATGGGCCTTGATGGGCCTTCTTTTGATAATGATGGTCCATATTTGTTAAAGGCTGATGTTAATTTGTTTAAATCTGGGCCATGTAAAATATTAGCTTGCTGATTTTTTTTCTTTTAATTTAATAAATATAAGTATTTGTGTTTCATAATTTGCAAGTGAGTTGTGACACACAAATACTCTTCTTCTTTCTTTTCTCTTTTCAATGGTAATGATATTTTTGTTGATCAACCTATCTTAAAGATTAAAAAACACGAATACTGGAATCCAAACTAAATCTATATGGATTATAAATATGGCATTGGAGAAGTTTCTATGAAAAATAGGATTAAAAAAATTGTATACAAAATATGATAAATAAACAAAGGGTTGTATAATAATGACATTAGCGATAGATTACCTCCTATATCGTTGTATTTAGATTTAATAATCTCTTTTTAAAACCAACTTATTGTGGTAATTTCAAGTCACATGACAAGGTTAAATGTCAATTTGCATGGCACTTTAGATTAATGGGGTACCAAAAAAACAAAATAAAAATGAGGATCCTATAGCAAAAGAGAGAATGTTTAGTTTAATATAAACTCTTAGGTATAGTTTGGTTATCAAGAATAAAATTTTTGAAATAAAAATACAAGAATTGAAATGACATTTATATTTTCATATTGTGTTCGAAATAATGATAAAAAATTAAAATAAAATTTTAATTTTTTAATATGAATAAAAATAATAACTAAAAAATAATTTCATCAATTATAATGATAATAAAATTAATAGAGATAATTGTAGTAGTGGTTGTGACAAGTAATAGAGTAGGAAGAGGAAGAGGACAATATTATAATAATAGCAAGTATAGTAATAAAAATAATATATTTTAAAAAAATTGATACCGTCACCATAGAATATTATAGTAGAAGAACAGTGATGGTTGTACAATAAAAGTGATGGTTGTGGTAGTTGGAAGATTGGTGGTAAAATAACAATAATAATATTTTTTTTTTATCACAATCGCCAATAGTTGTAGTGGCAATAGTTGTATAATAAAAATGACTGTGGTTGTTGAGAAAAAATGATAAGAATAATAATAATATTTTTTTAAAAAAAAATTTATCACCTTTGCCAATAAAGATGATAGTGGTGGTAGTTATAGTGGTAGTAATGGCAAAGAAGGTGAAGATAGTAAAAATAATTTATATATAATAAATAAAAAGAATATACTATTATTTAAAAAAACATATTCATTTTTTTTATTACCACCTCCCATGAATCATAACGAACTATATTTAAATTTCATTCTCATTTTTACTTTATTTTTTTCAACCAAACAACTATAAAATAAAAATAAAAATTTCGTTCACATTTTCATCATTCCATCTTTAGTAACTAAACAACAATTTAAGAATGAAGATTAACTAAATAAACTAAAACAAAACATTAGTTTACTTTTTCAAATACTCGTTTATATACTAATATTTCATTATTCATTGGTTTTTTTACACTTTGATCCCCGATATTTGCTAACGAATATTTTGATCCACATCTTCATTTGTTCATCTATTTTGGTCCCTAGATGAGAGAGAAGGGGAGTGGGAAGAGAGAGACGGGAGGGGAGAGATAGATCGTCGACCAAGCTTATTTAGGCTACTTTGATTGACGAAAATCCATTAGATTTTTTTTATCTTTGAGAGATAAGTTTGTCCATAGTTGTTTCAAGCCATTAAACAATTAAAGAAAGTAGATCGGAGCCAAAAAATGAAACAATGTTCCGATTTGATTGTGTAATTTTTTTTTTTTTGTGCATTAAAATGATTTTTAAGGTTTTAGATGTGTTTATTGACTTTATTCCGGTCATTTAGCATTGTTTGGGAAAAAAAAAGATGCCGGAATTCAATTTCTAGGGATTTGAAACTTGATCTTCGATTTTTTGACGAAGATTTCAACGACATCGATTTGTCGAAAGTTGCGGACTTTTTTTTTTCTTTTTTCTTCTCTAGTTTCGGCTTAGGAAATTGACTTTTATTTTGGTCCCTTCTTTCTATTTTTTTTATTTTGGTCATTAAACGTTTCTTATCTTTGATTTTTGTCCCAATTTGAAATATTAAAATTTTATTATATGTGATTTTTATCCTTATAATAAAATATTTTTTTAACTTTTAATAAAAAATTATGTTCTTTTTTTGTTTCTATTTTTTAATATTTTTTATTTTAGTAATTAAAGTTTTCTCATATTTAATTTTTATCCTTGCTATACTCGAAACTAAAAAAAGTTTACTATCCTAAGGTTGTTTTTTTTTTTTTACTGAAATTTTTTTTCTATTTTAATTTTCGTTTCGTGATTTTTTCTTTGTTTTCGTCATTAAATCTAGTAGAATTTTTCTTAGTCCTTGTTTTGTAATTGTTTTTTATCTTAATCAATAAATTTTTTTCCTATAAGGAACTATTTTTTACTTTTAGTAAAAAATTTTGTTATATTTTGGTTTTTGTTTTATGATCATTCATTTATTTTGATCATTAAACTTTTATTATATTTAATTATTATTCATTATGCATTAAAATTAAATACATTTTAACTATGCTAAGCTTTTTTGTTTTTTAGTGAAAAAATTTTCTGTTTTGATTCTTATTTTATTAATTTTTTTATTTTAGTCATTAAAATTCTATAATGTTTACTTTTGTTCCCGTCTTATGCATAATGAAATTTTTTTAGTCTTATTGTTTATAAGTACTTTTTGTATGCTTTTAGTGAAATTTTATTTATTTATTTTTATTTTTTTATGATCTTTACTTTGTTTTAATCATTTAATTTTTATAGTCTATAATTTTATCTCTATTTTCTTTGCCAAATTCTTGATTTAACAAGGTTTTTTTGTCTTTTTGTTTTGAGTAGTCTCTCTGTCTCATTAACAAATTACATATGAATAATATATGGTAAAAATTAATCATCGAAAATTCAAAAGACTACCACATTATTATTTTAATTATCCGTTATTAATAAAATACATGTTTATATCAAACAATATCTAATTACCAACACTATATTACTCAATTTTGCAAACTTTTCATTTAGCTAACCCCGCAAAGAAATTATGAAATATGTGTTTTAATATATTTTTTAAATTATTTTCGTATGATATTGTTAAATAATGATTTGTAAATGTTAAATTTTATATGAATGAATGCATAAGAATGTTATATAACTCACATCGCGGTAACGCGTGGAATATATGCTAGTTATACTAAAAACTAAAGTAAAACCATTGGTTTTATTATTCATTCACTATTTGAAAATATTATTCACACACTCACAAATCACTATTCACACGCTCACATACCACTATTCCTTTCATTATTGCTAACATTTTTGTAACACTTTGGTCCTCAAATTTTCTATATATATATATTTTTTTCAATTTTAAACTTTAATTGTATTGTAATTTGATCCCATTTTGTTTTAGTATTTTTTGTTAATTATTTTTATTATTTAAGATTTACTACTTTAATTTGTCATTTTTTTAAATTCTTTTTTTTTAATTTTAAACTTTAATTATATTGTAATTTGGTCCCATTTTATTTTAGTGTTTTTTTATTAATTAATTTTATTATTTAAAATTTACTACTTTAATTTTCATTTTAAAAAAAAATTTCATCGAATTAATTGAAAATTATATGTTCTTCAATTTTTCTGTACTTTATTTTTTTTTTCAATTTCAAACTTTAATTATATTGTGATTTGATCTCATTTTGTTTTAGTGTTTTTTGTTAATTGTTTTTATTGTTTAAAATTTACTACTTTAATTTATCATTTTTTTAAAGTTCTCTTTCAATCAATTTAAAATTATATATACTGACATTTTTTATTTATTTTTCTATATATATGGATTTTGGAATAAATTTTTAGAATATGATAGTTAAATAAAATTTTTAATAAAAAATTATAAATAATTTTTTTTATTTTTAATTTCATATATTTTTATAGATTCACGTCATAAAATAGATTATTAAACTGAAATAATTTTTTTAAATAATTTTATATATTTTATTCAACCAAGTAGCGTAGCGCGTAAAAAAACTAATAAATACTAAAACACACACACACACACACAGATATATATATATATCACTGTACACGTTACTATGTATTTAACTGTAGCTGAAGACGCAAATTTACTGTAGATTCACTGAGCCGTTTGATGTATTGGCCTTCGTTTTTTATCGACTTTTTAGGCCTATTTTTGTGTTCAAACTAGAGTGTTTTTGGCAGTCTTGCCTTGGTTTAATTGGACGACTTTGCTTCTTGCCCTTTGGTTTTTTTTTATATTATCATTTTTAGTGGTTTTATAAAAATACATTTGTACCCTTATTTTTTTCCTATTCCTTTTTTGTTACTCTCTTTCCGGGCTTTTTTTTATTGTTAGATTTCTTTTCTTCTTTCCCTCGATTTTCTCCCTCGGGTTCTTATTATTTTCTTTTGCGCTCTAAAAAAATAAATACAAAAAAAAAAAAAAACGTTCTTTTAGAAATGATTAAACTAACAAAAAAAAAAAAAATGCACGAGACTCAGTGTCTCTTTCTCCATTCTTACTAAAAACAAAAGTGCACTGCGATTATACATTTCGAGACGACACATGGATTCCAATATACTTTCACTACACACATGTTACTACCCCATTTATGACGAACAACTATTGTACAACATTGAATATTACAGTTAAACCACATGACATATGCAATACATTTTATATTTAATTACAGTCTTTATCTATTAATACAGTAACAGCTTTACAATTAATACCATTATTTATATGGTTTTATTCTTCAACTATAATATTACTACTCTATAACAAAAAAATATTTACACAAACAAACAAATACCATTAGTTTAAAATACAAATCTCTAACTCCAAAATATGGCTCCTTGTACTCGTACATGAAATGTTAATGTTGGAATGCCAAAAATCATAAAAACAAAACAAAACAAATCTCTAACTCCAAAATATAACACAGAACATCGAACTAAAATTATATTTTTAAAATAATTTTACATAAAATACCTTTTTATTTTTTATGTAACATATTATGTTAAAAATAATATTTTTAAATAATTTTATATGTTTTATCCAACCGTAATACAGGTTACAAACTAGTTTAAACTTGAAAACTATTAGTCCAAGGCCCTATCTTCTAGAATCAGGCCACTCCTCCTTAGCAAGAGGCACTTTTTGAACTTATTCCAAGTCCACCGTCTGGTGAAAGAATACCACGTAAATTTAAACTTCTAATTCTGCTCTGTTTATCCTGAGCAAGAAACACCACAAGGCAGCATCAGCACCCAGTAGGAGAATATCAATGATGATAAATGTACACAGTACACCCCTACTCTCTCCTTTGAAAGCCATCCATAAACCTCTCATGAATGCTTTCCGAATAGTAATGTCATCAACAAACCTTCCCAGCAACCACATATCAGAGCAATTGAGTAAAAACCAAACAGATGGTGGTGAGGTATTGGAAAACAGTTGAAGCTAATTTGCCTATAGAAGATAAGACTCAAAAGTATACAACGGTGTAGTGATATAATACGGAAACCAAGTATTCCATTTCAACTCATTGCCTATTAACTCGAGAAAAAGTCCAAATTGAAAAAACAAGAGCAACTGCCATTCACCTATAGAAGAAACGCATTATTCTCAGCTGTCTGAGATCATAATCACAACTTCAGCACTTGAATCCTTTGTCCAAAGATATAAATTACTCGGTCTGCATCAGCAAATAAGCAAGATCAACAAAATATATATGATAGTAGAACTTCCAGTATGAAAAATGCAGATTTAATTCCATTGTTTTGATTTCAGCAATGTATGGAGAAAAACTTTTAAGAATGATGAAACTTTAAGCAGAATATTTCCTATCTAGTGAAAACACAGAGAGATCCTGGTATATTAAGTCAAATGCTTAAATGGTAATAGAAAAAGCTTAGGCAAAAGCTTTTCCACAAAGCTTACTGTTGGCGCGCTTATTTATTATATATAGGTATTATGCAACAAGTTCCGCCCATCCACTGGGGCTGCTTGGAGCATTCAAAAAAATTTAACAAACCAGGATGTACCTGCAAGAATTTACTGTCTCTCATTTTTCTCACATACTGGCTGACCATACACCAAAATCAGATATTCCAGGAATGAAACAACGGAAAGTGGAACAACAACCAGAGACTCACATAACAGATTGTTACCAAATTGGCTCTAAGTTCAATGAATTCATCAAGGCTAACCTAAACTCCTTGGGTAATAAGTTCTTGTGGCATCTCAGAAACTAATATTTGCAGTTAATTTTAATATAGTTGAAAGATAAAATGGCTGCACAGAGAAGAAATGAAATGAAATTCCTTAAACATGCTATACCTTTTGACGTTTTGAATTTGGAGGGGTAGGTTCAGTATCGCTATGGCGACGAGATGTTCCAACACCGGAGTTTTCAGCCTGCAAACATGCCACCGGTTAGTCTTGTAGTTCTACATGTTTCTATGCACGTAACAATTTAGCTTGACATATTTACAGCATCATGCCAAACCCTTCATGATTCATTTAATTGGCTAGGGTAACAAATCCTGAATAAAAAGTGACATGAGATACAAATATCTATTGAAGGAGTAACAGAAAAAGCTACTTACATGGGTCGAAGAATCTTGAAGCCTTTGATACCCAGAAGTGTGTGCTTCTCCTGGAGGTGTGGCATTGGGTTCTGCACCTCCACTTTGAGGTATGAGGGGCATGATCTCACGAAGCAAATTAGACAAAAAGATCCCCTCATCAGTAGCTCTTGGTTCTGCTTCTGCAGTAGCAGTAGATGGTCCTGCAGTCTCAGGTATGGAACTAGTAGTTGTTCCTCGTGAGCTGGCATCCTCCATATGGATATCACCAGGTAAGATGGTCCTCAGAAGCTGCAAAATACTGTTGGGAATATGTCGTTCAGAATCTTGGTTGTTTTGGGCCCCACTAGCTGACAGAATGTTGACACTTATACTGCGAGAAATAGAAGGCTCTTGTCTTGAATTTGGTGGCAATGATCCTGGAAGAACAGCAAGGTTGGTCAACTAACATAGAACAGTTGAATAAGTTCATATCCTGTCATGGAGCCATATCATCAACTCTAAAGCATGATACAGCAAGCAACCATCAAAACTTTGACTATTATAAACAACATTAACTTCAATAGAATTTCACATGCTATTGTGAGCTGAAAAAGCTGTTTTCATGCAAGCCTGTTACAACATGTTCCCAAAGGTCCCCAATCAAATCTTTATGGGATAAACACATGGAAGAAAACCCAGGACAGTTATGAAAAAAATTGAAAATAAAAGATTACACGTTATTTTCCTTATTTCTTTTAGGGTGAGGATGGGAGAGGGGTGCTCTTATTGACCGGGAGCTAGGAAGAATCCACTTCAGCACCCTAAAGTACAACCTTTCACCTTGTACTTAAATGGTATACAACAGGAAATACAACTCAGAAAACATCCACTGAGAACTTGCCAGCATGGCAGGTAAGTTTTGCTGTCAAATTGGAATCTCCATAAGTGTGCATCAGAATCATCAGAGAAGGTTGTGTGTGCCGTTGATACTTAGCATGGTACTTTGACTATGCATTCTAAAACAATATATGTGGAATGCTCATAAAGAACAAAAGTTGTGGAAATCACCCTCCATCCCTCATGCAGGATTGCAATGATGTACGGGCAAAACAAATAACACGATATGCATAAGCCACAAGGCAGTGGCAAAGATTAGCAGCAGCACAAGTAAAACCACCATGGGATACACATGTATGCATAAGACGAACCATAACATCTCCCTTCAAGCATCCTGAGCTTGGACTGGAAGAGATGTCCACAACTACAAACTTAAGACTTTTCTATGAAACAAGTAATCCTCATAACTTCATCAAGCTGCAGTATTGTCACATTACCATCTCTTGTGCGTTGTTCAACATTTTGCCGTTGCACAGGAGGTTCAGGAGTTGGCGGCTGCTCAGTTTGGATCCCAGCAATAGGATGCTCAACAGTTGCTTGAGATCCTCGTCCACCACTCCCATGCCCAGAAGCTACATGTTGAAATCTTCCAAGAACAGGATAGTACAGACCTACAGAATTACCAGATGAATCAGAAGGAAGACGGCCAAGGGTGCCAGGAACGGCTGCAACCACAGTTCTAAGAGGCACTACTCGTACAGCCTCTCCAGCAAAAGATGAACCCTCTGGGACCCTTGAAGTTGTTTGATTACTAGGATTTTCACTACCAGAACCGGTTGGTGGGTTTCTCTGCCCAGCAGTCTGCTGTGTCTGACCACGTTCCTCACGATTATTGTTGGGAGTAGCTGTTGATGAACCTTCGGTAAAAAGAAGACTAGTTTATAAGTAGACCCACACATCAAAGAAACCATACATATTAATTATTCCGGGCATCAAAAGAAAACCTCTTCGTATTTGTATATCAATCCGCCTTGGAAGAAACCCAGTACCAATACCATTTGCCAAACCCGATCCAGACTGAATGGATCCTACAGGGATAGCACCAAAGCTTGTCCCTGTTTGAAAAGGAAGGGGCTGCATGCATAGAAATGATCAGAGGAAAAACATATCCAGAGCAAAATGAAAAGATGAAAAACAAAAAAGATTTCATAAGGATGTCAGGATTATGACCTGAACCATTAGAGGATTAGGACCAGATTGATTGATAAAAACCGCAGGGCCAGCATTTACCACGGCTTCGGACTGTAAACAAACAAACCACAGCTCAGAAGATGTCATGCATGAAAGGATGCCATAAATGAGAAATTAGAGATAATCTTACCGGTGCTTGACCTAGTCGTAATGTCATAATTGTACGTCCAAGTTCAAGTAGAAGTGCACCTAGATTATGAAGCTGGACTCCAGTTCTCAATGCACTAGACTGAGTGGTGTGCCGCGCTGCAGGATCAGTAACATTTGCTTGATTCTCTAGTTGTCTTGCAAGTTGCTGCCAACATACAAAACAGACAGGGAGGGTGATCCAATGCATTTAAGTTTTAGTTCTCAAAATAAATAAAAGAAAGAAAAATATTGTAATATTTCAAGGTCAAAAGAATCAAATTCTACAAAATATAGAAAATGTTAAACATAATCAGAAGATGACCAATTCCTATGGCCACAAGCAACTAAACTTCACCGGTAAAAAATGGAATATACAGTTGGATACCCAAAAAATAATGGAAGATTAAAAGATAATAGAGAACATATGAAGTAGATAAAATGGTGTTGAATAACACACAAGTAAGCAATCTGCAACTTGTTCGGTGAGTAATTGTCTACTAGACAGCATCACTTCTGCCAAGGATGCAGGCGTTGGAAACCTTTCTTGTCCAGTTCCTGATAGTGACGTTGAATTAGAATCTATTTGCTCAGTCCTGTGTGCAGCATCTGCTTGAGAATTGTTTTCCCTGCCTCTGCCTGTCAATGAAAAGAATTACAATCCAATGACCAAATCAGCCTCATTGAAGCAAATGGCATTTATTAACCATGTAGAATTTTGCAAAAAAGGAGATTCTGACCGATGGCATCAAATTCTCGCCCCATATGGCTCAGATATTGGGACAAAGTTGTAAGAGAATCAGAAATTACCTACACAGACACAGAAGATTAACCCAATCTTTAAAGCTTCAATAAGATATGCAGGCCAAAGAATTCATGTCATACAAAGAAGGTAGAGGGTGGGAAATAAGAGGACTCCAACTTACAGGAGGATTCAGTGATCCCAAGGAAGCTGCTGTTGGAAGCCCAAAAATATTTTGTGCTCTGTCAGACTGACCCCTGGTGGCAGTTTGTTCAGATTGCAGCTGGCTTGCATCCATTGTGCCTCCAGCAGCTGATGTTCTTTGTGAACCACGCTCCTTAAACATCCATCCCAACCAAAGAGAGTAAGACCAAAAAACATAAATATGCATTTATGGGTCTACAAAAGCACTATGGTAAATCTTCTCAATTTTGCAAAACATGAATTAGCTTGATATCTCAGAAGGTGTTTAACATCTAAAGTCAAATAAAAGCTTGTAATTGACAACCACCTAATACAAAAATGCTGGACATTTTACTCTGAAGACATTTTGTTTGTTTGCCTCTCTGAGTGAGAAGAGAGGGAGAGAATTGGGAGGGACGAAAATTCCCCTCCCTAAAAACAATAGGTTTTTGAAAGTACACCACCAAAACTGTATTTAGTTTTAGAGTTTAGAATTTAAATATTACCCTGGCAACATCTACCCCTTCACTGCCACCTCCAATATTTGAAAGTCCAAAAGATCCAAGAACAGCAGAGACAATCTGCTCCAGAGAATCAATTAAGATATTGTTATGAAATGATTACATTATCTGTATACAAATTCAAAATTGCTAAATTCAACATCTATTTGTAGCCTCACCCTACTGATTTCTGGAGGAACTCCATCCCCTTGATCAGGCACACTAAAAGTTTCTATTACAACACTGGGGGCCACCTGACCAGCGTGCCGGCTTGAACCTGATGCAGGATCATTGCCTGCAACATTGACACATAGGAGTTAATCCATGGTTAATTTTACTAGCACATGAAAGATATAGTACAAACAAATAACCAATAAAGGTATAGAATTCCATTTCAGAAAGCTGGGATGTCTTTGGCTAAGTTCAGATTATGACATAAACATAAGCATTATCGCTACAACAATTTCTAACTTCTTATAGATGACAAAGTGACTAATTATTATCTGTAAGCTGTAACAAATGTAGTATTCAACAGAGCGGATGGATTTCCCGGTATTCAGTTGCTTTCCACTAAGGTAAAGTTGCTTCTCATCTATGCAAGTAAACATGTTTCAAGTTCCAAGATTACAAAAATTTTTGGTCCAATACCAAGGGTTTTTCTTTCTTTTCTTTTAGCAAGGGAAGAGGGGACAGGGTGTTTGCATGCTATACCAAGCTTTTAGTGAATATAATTAAAGCTGCATTAAACACTTTGCAGGTCAATTATCCATTATGGCCATTAATTACCTTATGCAGTGTCAAAGGACCATCTCAACCCAATAACTTAAGCTTTCAGGTGAGGCCTCAAGATAGAATTTATATTATTCTCTAACACATCCCATCAAGTGAAAGCCCTTTGGACTTAAAACTTGCACAGGCTCATATTATCTTGTGCTAAATTAATTAGAAGAGAAAGTGGGGTGGTAGGATTCAAACTCTTGATCGTTAGGTTAGCAAAGCTCGATACCATATCAAAGGACCATCTTAACCCAATAACTTAAGCTTTTAGGTGATGCCTCAACATATGATTTATATTATTCTCTAACATGCAACAATTTTTTGTTTTTTGATATTAATGAACTGTGGGGCATCTGTGGGACCCTTTGGACCACCACAACTTGTCCTCCACGGCTTGACATAAACTTGAATAAGGAATCCTTTTTTTGACAAACTTAGTACAGTTGAAGAAGAAGATGATGCAAGCAAATTTTAAGGCAAGCCAAACCTGGATGATTGGATAAACCCTCAGATGATAGCGGTATAGGTTGCCTAACCACCAGATGTAAGGTGTGACCATCTTCGACATCTAACTTGTGTTAAGTGAATAAACCAAACCAAACACTGAATATAACAAGAAAATAATGCTAATTGAGTAAAAAAAAAAAAAAAAAAAGAATAGGAATATGACAATCTTCTTTAGGGAGGAAAAAGAAATTTAATGCAGGATGGTTTAATGGTTACTAGTTCAATCAATGAAGATCTGGATTCATACAAGATCTAATGTTTGCAAATTCGTTCTGAAAAAGTAAAAAAGCTAACTAGTTCATTCAATATATGTTTTGATTGAAATGCATCACCCACATTTAAAGTTTCCTTCTAGCAAGAAAATGCACCCTTGCAAGAAGGACTTGCTGGAAACCAGCCAATGCACAAACTCCAACTTGTCCCAATATAACTCTTTAGCATCAACATTGTATTAATAAGCTCTTTGCACTTTTCTGCCCAGCTTTACAGTTTAACATCAGAAATAAATGTCTATCATTGGCTCACTACTTATGTGGTACCTCAATCAAAACTGTAAAAGAAAATTGAAGCAAATTTTTATCAATCTCCTCACTTTGGGTCCACAACGGTTTCTGTTAAATATTGTAACTAGGAGTTGCATTTGAGCCTTAAGGAAAAAAGGATACGATAGGCAGAGAGTAGTTGGTCATCCTTTAAAACTTTTCCACGGCATATTAGACGTTGTTGTTCTGATAGCACACCAGTGACAGAAGCAACCTGTTCTTTCAAAGCAGGAACTGGCATCTGCCAAGAAAGGGACAATATGATGAAATTAATGGATTCCACAAACAAAGATTCATGCACAATTTATCAACTAGCAAATCCTCACTCACAATATAAGTGAAAAGACCATATTAAAAACACAATGCAGGGTGCATTCTTACACCTTAGAATTCAGTGACGACAAAGAAAGTTTCAACAGTGTCTCATGTATAGATATAGGGAAAAACTTTCAACAGAGTTTCATGTACAGATATAGGGAAATAGAGGACCTTCTGTGATTGCTTTTTGATCAGTTGCTCATGAGATCTGCTCGTCAGTAATTTCTGCATGAATATTCGGTAAAGTGTGGAGCAATCGGACAATACTCGAAGGTTTTTACCTAAGGGCTTGTTGAAGAGAAGTTCTTGAGACGGGAAAAGGAGGTGGATGCTAGAAAGTGTTGCCTTTGTGTCAGCTGTATGGAACTAGGTAGGTTTAAATGGCTAAATAAATCATCTATAAGGACTGGAACTTCTCTGAGCATGCTGGTAAAGTAATTGTAATTGTTAAGACTACCTAATTTCCTCTTCTTGTTACTCTTTTTCAGGATTCAGATTCTAGTAATTCCCAGTCACTCGTCTGACAATAGAAATATGCTCAAAGTGCAATTTAAAGCTATTGGTAAAGAAGTAAAAAAAATATAAAACAGAAAAAGAACTATCCTTAGTTTTATATATATATATATATATATATCATCAGAATTGACTTTGAGATGTAATTTGTACTCAGTGATCACCTAGAGTATTATAACAAAAAATTGCAAAAAGTACCCACCACAATGACATGAGCCACAGTTCAGTTGGAGCCAGAAATTACCTGTTTATCCACTCTCAAAGTATAGGTTTGAGAATCCAATGTTTTTATTTTTATTTCAATATTCGTTTCAGGACCTTCTGCCTGACCAACTCTAGGAATGTTATCAGCAAAATTACTTCCCATTCTCTTCAGATGAATGGATACCTACAACCAAGAAAGAAAAAGAAACAAATGCACGAAATTAGGTTTGGAAGTTGCTAGGGTGAGGCAACAGCATGCTTCTCCATCAACCAGATAAGTCACAGTGTTATACTGGCAACATAAATAATGTTCCTTAGGAAACAATAAATCAATAAGTGCACTAATTCCAACAAAAGGGGGTGCCAGTTCCCTTCATTGTGGTCATCATACACAATTCAGTAAGTGCACTAATGCCACCAAAAAGGGTGCCAGTTCCCTTCATTGTGGTCATAATAGATCATTGTTTCAAGAGAGGAAGTGAAAATGAGCAGAAATGCAAGAACAAATGACAAAAACCAGAAGCAGAACGTTGTTGATATTGTCGTCACATATGTACTTCAAGAAAACATGAAACAAATGACAGAAACCATAATTTTTTTGTGTTTTTTTTTGGGGTCGGGGAGACAATCAGAAAAATCTCCAGCCTTGCAAAACGCATAAACATGGTAACAATGTGTGTGAATAACACAGCAATCCTGCAGCCAACCATGATGGACTGTATTGATCTGATTCTTGATATTCTTTCCATTAATTACCGATTCAGTAGGATATCACTCACTAGACTACGATGGTGATCACTCAAGAGTCCCTGCTGCTGCTATTAGTTGATATTTTATAACATCATACAGGAGAAACATAACATCATGTTCTCACTTGAGAAGGTGTATGATATGGCATCAGTGTGTTATAATACTGTCCACAGCGGTCATGACCGTGCTTTCCAAACACCTCCTCTGCCTTCTGTAATTAGACAGGAAAACACATACGGTTCTTCAAATAGAGCATTGTGCCCTGCAAATAATAGGAGAACATTCTCCCATGTTAGATTAAGTGGCCAAGTAAACTTCCCTAACCTTGGAGTTCCTAGTGTTCTTTTTGTTACCAGGATCAGAAAACAAATTGCAAGAACAACTCTAATTCCATGTCAGGTGTATGCCTGAATGCATGCTTGCATTTTGCTTTCTTCCATATATCAAAATCAACTTCAGACCATAAAATCTCAGGATCAAATCCATTGTATATAATGAAGATCATGCACCAAGAAGTAATGTCTCAGTCCCAAGGGACATTACTGCCATATTTATACTTCATATTTCGCTCCATATAATGAAATTCAATTTAAACTCTAAATTACAAGAATTAAAAAAAAAAAAAAACCAAGCTTCTACTATCAAAACAGCTTATCTAGAATTGGGCGCTGCATCCGATTCCAAGCTAATCAGTAGAAAAGGGAAATCAAACAGTGAATTCAAATATTCAAAACTGCTCAAACAAAAACATTCAGGACATTTCCATTGTCCAATAGATTGAGACAACAAAGAACAATCTTTTACCACATTCTACGTCTCTAAAAAGAGTCCCTTTAACCCTAGTTATCATTAAACACCAAAAAATGACAATCTTTAACTTCCACCACTCACACTTCAATCAACATAAAAAGAAAGAAAAACCCGATAAACCCAACAATTTTCATTGAAGCTTGATCAAGTTGCCACGACACCAATTAGCAATTTCCCCCTTCACTCAAATGCAAACAATCAAAATCCCATTTCCCATTTACCTCTCACTGTTTAGGGTTTACCAAATCTTGATAAAAAAAAAAAAAAAAAGCTCAAGAATTTAAACTTGTGCGTCCTAACCAGTCGTCAAATACATGCAAACCCAACCCATCAGGTTCCAAGATTGACAACCCAATTCACGCGATAAAAAATTCAAGAAAAAAATACAAAAAAAGAAAAAAGAAGAAAGAAACAGAAAAGGAAAAGCATACAAGATAAGAAATGAGTCCGTAAGTTACCTGGGATAAAAGGAAAATCTGGTTTAGCGAGGAAAGATAGAGAGAGAGAGAGAGAGAGATGTATAAAAATGATAGAGAGAGATACTATGTGCTCTCTCTCTTTTTTTCTTTCTCCCTGCGTATTTTGGAGCTGACACCTGAATTATATTGCACAAACTCTCAACTCTCTCTCTCCTCTGTCTACTGTGTTGAGTTGTGTTGTGTTGTGGCCACCGTAGGACGAGGTTGTGAAAATTATTAACGTTTCTCTCCACTGTATGTTCTTTTTTTTAATCTTTTTTTGGTAGTGCAGTGATTCTTTTGGGATTTTTTGGGGATTTGGATTGGGATTTTTACTTTTTACTGCTGGCATGAAAACTTCTGAGGTAAGTCAGTAGGTGGAAAACCACAAATTCTTCTAAACTCGTATTGTTGAGTTCATTTCCAATGAGAAGTCGGTAGGACTGGATGTGAATCTTTGGTTGGATAACTGTTGGATTCGAAGAATAGGTGTATATATATTTTTATTTCTATTTTTTTATAATATGTAATTTAATGGAACACAGTAGTTTCTTCTAGTTATTAACAGTGATCTTTTTTTCTTTTCTTTTTTTTACAATTAAGGTATTTCAGATCTGTTTTTACATATTGAGATTTATTTCCTTTTCACTTGGATCTTAATTCTTAAGTATGCATTCATATCTAAATTAGAATGTTCACAATGAATGTGATTATTGTATACTTGGTGTCCAGATTTTTCAATTTTTTTACTTGAGTGTGCGAATTTAAATTTTTTATAATTATTATTTTTATTAGATTTATATTGACGTGGTTGTTAAATTAACACGTTAACACGATGATATGTCTGCACAAACATAAACATTTCACTTTTTTTATTTTATAATATTTTTATTTTTTTCGATTTGAGTGTACATGCTTTTATATTTGTATTTGAGTGTCTACACTTTGATTTTTTTTTTCATAAATGCTATTAATTTGAAATGTAACGAATATCCATTTTGCATGTTATATAGGTTATATTTTTGATCAAATTAACTAAAATTAAAACAACAAAATAGATAAAGTTTTATTCGCATTAAAAAGAATATAACAATAAAAAGGTATTAACAAATAAATAAATTTGGGCTGTCTGTAACTGATTAGGCAACAAAATAAATAATAAATAAACTAACAAAATAGCTACAAAAAATTGTAGAACTTTGATAGACATTGGTGTAAAAATATATTGTGTGCTTGCATAAGAGATCAAATATTTTATTGAGAAATATATATATATCAGCTATAATGTATAATGAATTTGCTAATTTTTTATCTTTCATAATTAACGGTGGAAATTTGTTCGGTTTGTGAGAAAGTGGTGGAGATTGAGTAAACTGATTTTTTTTTAACAAGTAGTATTTTATTCTTATTTTCTTTTAAAGTGAATATATTATTATATTGTTTATTATTTTAGTTTTAAATTTTATTTAATTTGATCAAAATATAGTTTACATAAAATTACAAAGTGGATAACCATTAGATTACCAATCATCGATAAATTTTTAAAAGAACATACACTCAAATATAAATAAATAAAAATAGATACACTCAAATAGATAAAAAAAAAATACATTCGATTAGAATTAAAGGGAAATATTCATACTCAAACAAAATTTAGTTGTTAATTTAACAATCACGTCAGCATCAATTCAACAAAAATACTTAATTATGAAAATTTTAAAAATTTGCACATTCGAATATAAAAATTAAAGATTAAAATACGAGAATGAAATAAAGGTGAAAATTTACACATCAAATGTCTATAGGAAATATTTTCTCAGGTCTTCCCATAAATCATAACGTAAGGAATACATCTATTTACCAACCAGACTACTTTTTATTGCCTGAATATGCTAGAAGGATCATTTTATCTTGGATCTTTGTTTATCGGATAGGAACTATTTTTCTATCTTCTCTTTCCAATAATGTTTCTTTTAACACAAAAGAATAAAAATATTCCAGAATGATAACAAACCGAATAAATATGGATAGATTTTCAAGTAATAATGATGCTGAATCCAATTTATCTGAATGATGGTGAAGTTTAGATTTATAAATATTCATGTGCTAATTATTACTCCAGCACCAGACAAATAAAATATAAAATCCGGTCAACAATTCTCATTTCTCATGTCTCAGCTCAAAATAGAAAAAGCTTTGACTTTATGTTCAATTGACTTTAGATTTTTAGTTGTTCGTACGGATTGAGAGTTATGATTGAACCATACCATTTTTTTTCCTACCGGATTAATTTGGTTAAGGATCCATATGTTTCTTACGTGCTTATAAATTCAATAGTCTTTAATCTATTTTTTTTAAGGTTATAAAAAATATAAAAAAAATCCAAAAAATAGAAAATAATCTCAAATTTTTTAAGGATCTCCACATAAATTTTCTCGAATAATTTTCATTATAAAACTATCTATGTGATTACTATTTTTAAAAATAAATGATAGAAAACTAAAAATTAGGTTTAATCTCAAATAATTAAATGTTCATGAATTCTCATAATCAATAAAAAAAATTTGAGACTTAATTTCAAACGACTTATAGTTTAAGATTAGTTAGATCCTTTTAGGGTTTTTTTTTTGTTTTTTTTTTAAATAAACATGTTGATAAAAAATGTACTATTAAATAAAATTAGTCGAAGGGACTTTGTCCGGATTAAAAAAAATATATTATCGTTAATATCCAAAAAATTAAGAAGCATGTTTTCATCTTTTTACCTCAGGTAATATTTGAAAGCAAAATTTACCCTTTAAACGGATGAAGAAGAAATGGATTAGTTTGCACAACTATTTAGAGTAGGTGTCCTTGAAAAGAAACATTTGATAAATTGGGTATATTCTGGATTAGAATATCTAGTGAATTAATACCATTATAGTTTCTAACTCATAACATCCTCAATGAAATAAATCTCCAAAAAAAAAAAAAAAAAAGAAAAGTTAGTGTTGAAATAATAATAATACCAAAACCGGGTCAATCCAAATCCTACTCCAATGGTTAGATGGATGTAGACCAACAGGCCCACTCACATCTATCTGGGTTTAGCCCAGTCACTAACGGATCATAACAAAATTGAAGAAATCAGACCCAGAAAACCACGAGCCCTCTACAGCTGGGCTACAACGATTGAATTGTGTCCAGTTTAACAGAGTAAATTATAAATTATTCCCTCTAGTTTCAAGAAACGAATTAATTATTTTTTTAATTTCAAAAGATAATTATTCAATCCTTATGTTTTATATTTTCTTGTCAGTTCATTTTTTTTAATTTATTTTTATTTTTTTATTTTATGAAATTAAAAAAAAAACCATGGAATGATTGATGAGGAAACAAACCATATTTTATTGAATAAAATAATATTAAATTAAACATTATTAATACCTGATGCCAATATTTATTGGGATTTAATAAAATTGAACTATATGATTATCTTACATCATCTTGATGTCGAATTTGTTTGGAAAGACAGAAGAGATGTGATTTGAAAAGACAAAGAGGATTGATAAAGAGAAAATTAACCGCGCAACAAATGGTTAGCTCCCATTTGGTCCTAGTTTCTATTGATGTATATCTCTAAGACAACTACTAATTGAAGTTTCTAACGTCAGTGAAATGCTTGTTTAACTGTGAAATTAACCCCTCCACGTTGATTGCTTGAATTCACGGATGAGACGACGTATAACCACCACCAAAGCTTGTTGTTGTGTTTAAGACAATATTGTTATTGGATAAATATCTTTAAAAATTCACTTCAAACTAGATCTTCTTCTTTTTGTCATTTTCATGTTCTGCTGGTTCTAATTTCATTTCATAATTAGGATTCATCACTGCTCATTTATTGACGGTGGATTAATGCTACTCTATTGCATGCAAACGGGAGAAACATACAAATTTCAAAATCTTAGCTAATACGAACTATAAGTTTTAGAATTTATGAAGTAATATGAACGCAACAGAAATTAAAAAAAAATTATCGATCTAATTTTGAGATTTTTTAAGAATCAAATGCATGACTATGTCATGATGTAGGCATGATTTTTGCTAAAAAAGATTACTTAGGCTCTCAAAATTGACTTTTCTTATTTTTTGGATTTTCTTATTTGTCTTCATTTTGAGCTGGTTTAAGGTTTTAGCTGAATTTTTTTATTTATGTATGACTTTGATGCAAAAAAATATATATATATATATATATATTTTTCTTTGATTAAAAAAAATTTAAGAGAAAATATCTCAATTTTATCCCAACTTTCGACATTATTGAATAATTAAAATTTAAAATTTATTTTCTGATATTTACCGTAATTTAACAAATTATACTAGACCAATATCTAAAATTTGTGTGTAAATTTTCAGATAATGGTGTTTTTTTTTTGTGAGAATTTTTTTTTGGTGAGCTTTCGTTAGGAATTAGCCCATACTACTGGTTTTTTTTTTTTTTTTTTCAGAATTTATACCTATATACAGTTTAGCAGTCTTATCAAAGTGACATTGCTTGATAATATTTGATGGCAAAAAAGACTATTTTGATTCTCAAAATTAACTATTTTGTTTTGAATTGTGTATAAAATTTCAGATAATAGTATTTATTTTCTTCCTCTACGCTTTCACGAAGTAATTAGCCATACTACTAGTTTTTTTTTTCTTTCCAGAATTTATATCCATATACAGTTTAGCAGTCTTATCAAAGCGACATTGCCTGATAATATTTGACGGCAAATAGGCAGGCCTAGACATGACAAGGAAGCTTTAGGCCTTGCTTACCTTGTAGGATTTGGTAGTATACGGTGGAGAATTATTGCGCCTGTGTCCTGGTTCGGTGGATTCTCGATTGGTTCTCTTGGGCCACAACAACCAAACTCGACCAAGACGGGAGCCACTTGCAGTAGTGACCCATTACACAGGGAAGGACATCCCCTTCGTGGACCTTTGCCTAAGAAAGGAAACACACAGAGAGGTCTTGGTCACATATAATGCAAGCATACATACCCATTTTTTCTTCTCTTTAACCATCCCTTGTCCCTCAATTTAGGAGACCTTTCGCTATCCTGGCACAGTAGCACGTCCTTGTCTTTTTCATAAAAAGGATCCAAGCCAATGGGGTTGGTTCAGAGCTAACACGTTTGTTCCCTTTATGAAGAGAATTAAGGGTCCAGTAATTGTGTCATAAATATTCTTTAATTGGGTGACAACTTTACGTTTTATAACCTCAAAGTACAAATTTACATTTTATAATTTTATTTATAAAAGTATTTTAAACTTCGATCGCAATATAAATATTTTGGAATTTTTTATACATACTTGTGTGAATGCTAGAGATGCAATATGTTTGTCGAGAGTTTAAGATTAGCCTAATTGTTCCTTTTTTTTTTCAACAAAATAAATGGATAAATAAATAACAGAAAATCAAAAGTTTTCTATCATTTTATATGGTTAATGACTCAATTTATTTTTACATAATAAGGTAATTCTTCAATATATTTTTATATTCATAATCAAATCAATTTTTATTTTTTAATATACATAATTAAGTGTATGATTTATCATTGTAGTAAAAATTTTAGGTTCAACTATGAGAATTAATCATACATCAATTTGAACATAAAAACCTTCTATTTGACTAGCTTGAAAATATATTTTAAAAATAAAAATTAGTTATATATAAATTACATCAATGATTCCGATGATTTGACTTGAAAATTTTAACAAAAAAAATAGTTTGACAATTTAATGTATATATAATAAAAAAAAATTGACTCATTTAAAGATATACAAATAAATTTAAAAATTATCTTATTATATAAAGATAAATTGAGTTATTAATCTTATTTTATAATCATGTATTTCTTTAGCGATTTTTTATTGCTGAACCGCTAATAAATATAATTTTAAAATTCGAATTTTGTATATTGATAAAAAAATTTGTATAAAAACCAGTGTTTACCATTAGACTAACAACTTAGGTACTTGTTGAACTCATTAGTCATTCATTAATTTGTTCAAAATAATGTTTTCCTCTTTACCCTCTTTGGATGAAGCCCTTCTCCCTGCTTTCCAGGGACACCATTGCACGTCCATTGATTGGATTGGACTAGCTAGTAGGAGGTTGTCCTCATGCCAGATGCAAATTTGTATTATCTACACCAAGCTAGATAGAGTGATTATGATCTTTTGTAGCCTATGCTCTGTCAAGGCTTTAGGGCCTCTTGTAGATCAATAAAAGTATACACTCTTGACATGCATTGATCTGAATTTAAAATTCTTTCATGTAACTTTTAGGATAACAGAACCTAGTCAGCATCCACAAAGTGCTTCTGATGATTGAATAATCATCAAAATCATAGTATAAACACTTCTATAATATTAATAAACCATGATATCTTGTTTACAAAATCGTTCCCAACCCTAAAAAACTCCAGCATTTCTGTAATGGTGTCAACTCCCATCCACTTCATTATCCTAAAAAACTGGTCTCTTTCCATCTGGTTATGTCCTACGTACCAGCATTTTGTTGTGTATCTAAGATTTTCTCCTTGGTGGAGGATAGTCCATATCAGTAAAATCCATAATTTCCTCGTAGTGATCCATGGTACTGGCTTGATGCTCAGAATTCGGCAAAGATTTGACCTATAGTTTTCATGTTCCATGGCCACTGCTTCTCCATTAATTACTTGGTCCATGCTTGGATATGGGGTCAGCTTTATTTCCTCTATTTTCCTCATTCTGTACACGATCATATAGTGGAAGAAAGAAGATGAGGTGGAGTTCTTTTATAACTACACCCTAGCTGGCTAATTAAACAAATTTAGTTGCTGTAAGTTGTAACCATTAACTAATAGGGAATGACGCAAAAGCTTCTAATTCTGCAATGATTAACCTTAAAGGTGGGGATAGTGCTAGAGGTAGAGGTTGCCACATTAATAAATTTCCTGTTGATTCCTGCAAAGCATTAGATTTGACAAACCACTTGGGATATGAATGGATGTGGTGCGAACAAATTTTCTAGTTCCTTAATTAGGATATTTCTTTTGAGAAATTCTTAGCATTGTTTGTTGATTGAAAATGAAATTATACTATAAATTAACATTCTGACAACTGATCACAAGATATCAATCCTTTTATTGTGATCTAACATCTTGCAAAGAATAACTTTTAATAAGTATCTTGGGAACAAAAGTGCTTTGAAAGTACATATGATCATGGGTTTAAATCTCAAAAACCCAGCAGCTCTTATGTATGTCAGACTTCAAAAAATACATCAGTACTTGCCAAGGACGTGAAATAAAGGTCGGTCATTCCAGCTAGAGAAGAGAATCTAATGGTGTTTAGATTTGTGATGCCTAGGGCACAGTAATCTTCATGAATTCTTGGCAGCCAGTGTGGTGCAGATTTCTTGGACACTGGTCTAGAAACTCTATTCTTCATGGTACTTGTACAATGCCCTTGTTTGCAGAGAATGACTTCTTCTCCAAGTACCCCAGTACTTTCCTTCAAAGAACTTTCATCCTCCTGCACATCACAAGAAGTCCCATCAGAACTGAAGCTAATATGAAGTACTAAAAAAATACTCATTAATTCTAATACATCCCAGTGTGTAAAGAACTGAATAATACCTACCTGAATTTTTTGAGCTCCAACTTGCATGATTTCTCTTTGCAATCGAATCCCTACACAAAATAACAACACATATTAATTTAAAACTAAGGACATACAAAGCAAAAATAAGGTCTCTTTTGCAACTTAACATGATTGATACTTTTGGCATACATACCCTGAGCCTCTTGAAGGAGAAAGAATAAAAGCAGAAGAGAGACTACTAAACAAGGCCTCATTTGGAAAAAGATTGAGAACAAAGAGACTAGAGTAGTTGAGAGAAAGGGGAAAAAATTAGCAGCTTTGGTATTGCTAAGGTCAGGTTACAAAAGATACAGTTCTTTCTTTTAGAACTTGAATCCTGTAGAGATTATGCATGAATAGATTATAAGCAGTCTATATAGCAGGAGGGGTAACAGGTTAATTATACACACGGATTTTGGGGCCACAAAGTACGTAGTTCTCCAACATGACCAACTTTAATGAAAAAGGGGATTTTTCTTCCACTATCTTTTGTTTTTCATTTGTCTTTCTAGTGTAAAGCGCAAAAGTTTTTCAAAGGAAATGACCAATCATTGATTCATTAGGGCATCCATATATATATGTATCTTAATTCAATAAGAAAAATAAGAAGGTTGTGAGTCTTTAATTAATTACGAGTAGCTATCTGGGGTTTAAGAACTTATGGGGTCAAATTTCAGTCTAAAATTAACCTTAATCTGTATGTTCTATCTTAGAGTAAACCTACATAGAAATTGTCTGCTTAGTTTGTTGTTCCGTTCATGAAAAATTTTGCATTACGTTCAGACAAGCAAAAACTTTAGGGTGTTATGATCAGTACTATTTCTCAATAAGTATTTTAATTGGGAGGAAACTAATTAAACATTTGGTGGAAGAAATTGAAATTTGATCAGAATCGACAATCAGTCAACTGAGTACAACATGTTTAGGGTTTGTTAGTTTGACACAGAGACAGTAATACTGATAATTTTCCTTGGGTTTACAACATGTTTGCTAGACAGGTTCCCCTAAACGGAAAGCTGACATTGGTAGGCGTCAATTGTTTATATCCAAAAGCAAAAAATATGGTATTACTTTTAGAAAAGTTCTATTGTAATTAACAGTGCACTATCCACATTCTTAATGGCAAGGAATATGTAATTAACTTTTAATTAACTCAAATTCAAATAATAAAGATTATTCCTGCCATGACATTGCAAGGGCATGCGCGTTTTGATGTCACTTGGGAAACATTCATTTAGAGCTACATATTTATTTTAGTATAAGATCAATCTTCTTTTGATTTCTGAATAGCAAACAAAAAGAGTACAATATTCAGTAATCATTGGGATTTGTCGATGAATAATATCTGTCAAAAGATAGACAGTACTCAAATAAAGAAACAAGTGAAAAATTAGTGAGGATGAGATGAAAAATCAGAATCCATGTAGAGATCAGAGACGCTAAAATATGTTGAATTCGTAATTATATTAATTATCATCAAACTGTACCATATCAAGTCCCATGTCTGCGCCATAGATACTGTCAAACATAGCCTAAAACAAGCCAACACATCACACAGACATCTGTTATGATCAATCCTAGAAAAAAAACTTAGAGTTGAGCATTTGACAGGATCTAGAACACAAATAATTAACTAATCCCGTATGTCACCTTGACAGGTCCAATCTAAATATTGACACTTTAAAAACAATATCAGCAAGCCAATTAGCTAAGAATTGTCATTTAGGTGGCGGCTTTGCAATGGCAGGTGTCAGCAACTACTAATATTTGTGCTGATGGGCAACAAGCAAATATGGTAGTGTCATGTGGAAATTGAACTCATAAGGGAAAAAAAAAAAGAATTGAAAGAGTAAAAACGGAATACTAACAGCTTCGTTAATGGACGTCAGGGAGATTGAATCAGAGAAGTATGAATGAGGCTATCAAATGTGATTTAAAAGCATATGTACATGAGCATCAGCTATGTATTAGTAATTCCAAAGAGTGGAGCTTGAGTCTGATAGATCATTTTTTGATGACGACTCAAGCAAAAAAGAAACAAAAGAAATTGGGAAAAAAGGAAACACACATATAGACTTTGATTTTAGAACAAAATATCGGGAATATTTCATGGCATCTTATTCCTAACTTATGATGTGTAGAACTGACAAAGTCATGGAAGTCTAATATATACAATTCCTACTTCTTCCAAGCCGAACCGTCAGCTATGCTACCAACTATTAGGGAGATCTATACTTAAAAAAGTCACTTGGATCTACGCATGTGAAAGCTTATATACAAGAATGCATACCATCTTAAGTAAAAATATCTAGATTAAAGGGATCATGGATTCATCTTATGTATAAGCACTTTAAATTCTTATATTTTGTAAAACTCAACAAAAATAAAGGTCAATGAAACCAAAAAACATATGGCTAACACTAGACTTGTCAAATAAAAAGAAGGAACCTGAAGAAAAATAACAATGACAATGATAACCGATATCCTCTCTTCAAAGCGATGAAACCCATAAGTGAATCACACAGAAACAGTTACAGCAGCACATTTAGCCAGACAAACACAGGCCACAGTTGAGACTTGACTCAAAGGAATTCCATAAGAGTTGCCAAAACATCAATTAATCTCTAAATATCTGCCTCAAAATTTATTGCAATGATCTCTTGGTTGCAATATGCTTGAAAGCTTTTGGAGACATGTTTCTCTTCATCAATCTCATGACTTGCCAAGCATATATGAGCTTATTCTTGAACGGAAACTCTTGAATGAGTTTCAATAAGGTTTCTAGATGCCTTGCATCAGTTAATGACAGTCCAATCGCACAGCAGGTGAAATGCAAACCACTAACAACTCCATGGCTTATGAAAGCTCCCGCACGAATTTACAGCCTTTCTAGCAGCTTAGGGATCAAATTCCCATCTCTCCGATCCCTTCAATCCTACCTAGCCATGCTCAGGTCACAGCAAATTTCCAACCAAGGCTGGGCAGTCCATAGATGATATAGGGTAATCTGTAAAGAGCATAGCATCACCAAGCATACTAACACACTGCAGCGTTCACTTTAAGCAAAAAGTCTTCTGACTTAACAAAAACATCTAATGCCGAGGCACCAGATAATTTAGGAATTACGTGCATTACATGAGTTGGTGCAGTAGTGATGGGTGGATAATTTATCATCGGCAATGGAGCAAACCTCCCCTACCCCTCTCCCCTATTAGGATTTCAGGCAATTACAAACTATGGTTAATTGGATGGCTGTGTTGGGTTTATAGTTTATTTATTTTTTTCCGTAGTAATAGCAAAGTTTATAGTGGTTAATGACCAAAATTTTCTCGTACACTAAGAATTTTTTGTCTATCAAGGGTTTTGGATATTATAAATAGGTGAGTAGATGTATAATTTTAGGGTGAAAAAACATAAGAGTTTTTTATTTTATTTATTTAGGTGTGGGAGTAGATATACAAGGGATTATATCAAAAGCAAAAAGTTGATGTCAAGATTATCAAGGAAGAAGATAAAGCATTTTAACTTCTTTTCTCTCCTCCCAAATTCTTTAAAAATCTGATGATGACTTTATGATATGGTAATAATACAATAAATTTAGTCCAACTACAAGTTGTATTTTTATCTCATGAAACTTAGAGAAAGTCAAATCAAGAAAAAGAATATAACTTGTTACTAACGACTGGAGTGGAGTATCGAAAAAGATCAACTAAAAGGGAATTTTAGAATGGCAGATTTGAGTTCGGATCTAGCAAAAAGGATATTCAATATTATATGTGCAAAAAATTTGATCACATCAAGTGAGATATGTCTTCGAAAAAAATATATGATAGTGGTAGAAATTCTTTAATGGTAGTGCAAGACTACGAAAATATCTTCATAATCTAAGGTATGACATGTGTATTTCAAAAAACAATATTTTAATGAGTTTCGATAAAGGAAGATTGACACCGTTCTTGTGATGTTATGGCCTTGAAAATGTAAAAATCAAAATGTTTGATAGAGTGATCCATACTCAAATTTGAGTGGTGTGGCTTATGTCCCGAAGATGCATAAGAACATGATATTGTTGAGTCAATTAGGCTCCAAAAGATGTAGTTATTCTGCTGCAGATGGAGTTTTGGAAGTCACCCATAGTGACACAATTCTAATGAAAAAAGAGAAGTGTGATGGTTTATATCATCTTATTAGAAAGACAATGATTTATAAAAATGGCTGAAAATTAAGTGCACATGACAATAGCTACCTAAAAAAGGTCTTTTTAGTGATTAGAAAAAAGACGAGAATCATGCATTCTCATATTTCAAATGAGTATGAGAAGAAAGATTTTGCTAAGAGAAGGGATGGATCAATAACCTTATTTGGAGTTAATAAGTAAAGCTGAATCAAGATTAATAAGTAAAGTTGACTCAAATCGGTTGCATATAGCAATTGACAATGTTTTTTTTTTTTTTTTTTTTGAAATCATAAAAAGTTAACGATTGTTTACTAATTTAAGTCGTACGTAGCTAGTAAATTTTAAAATTAATAGTTATTTTTACTTTTCTATTTGTGGTATTTGCAAACATGTGGAGCCAATAAACTTCTAGGTGGTAATAATATTAGCCAAGTAGAAATTGTTGGGCTTTTTACTCGTATTTCGTGGAGTAATGAAAAAATTTAAAGGATAGTGTTACGATCAAAGATTTTTTATCCACTAAAAATTCTTTGTCTTCTAATAATTTTGTTTATTATAAATGAGTAGATATATAATTTTAAGATACAAAAACACAAAGGTTGAGAGTTTTTTTTTTTTTTTCCTAAGTGTGAGAATGGATGTACTAGTGGCTTTGAAATTGAATTTTAGGGATAAAAATCACAATGTTCTCTTCTAGTAAATAACTAATTTTTTTGCTCGCGCTACGCAATGGGTTGGATAAAATATATAAAATCATTTAGAAATTTTTTTTCAATTTGATAGTCTCGTTTTATGATATGAATCTATAAATATATATGAAATTAAATGTATAAAAAATTATGTATTCAAAAATTTTATATTTAACTATTTCTTTGTGTTTTTCATAATTTTTCCTTTAGAAAAAGGATTCATCCTTGTTAATCCATGGATTATTAACTAAAAAGAAAATTAAATAATTTTTTTTAAAAAGCTTTATTATTTTCATAAGATTGTGTCGAAAAACATAAATAACAATTATTAAAAGCTTACATAGAATTGAATAAATAATTTTTTTAATTTAATATTGATGAGAATATCGGTTTTTGAAAAAATATGAATTTAATTTTTATATATTTATTTACAAAAGAATGAATAATATTAAAATAAAAAACTATATTAATTTGAGTCATTGAGTGGTTAGGCCAAAACATTATTTTAATTATTTAATTTAAAATAAGTTAATTTAAAAATATTTAAAAAAAATAAATAAATAGTAAATGCTTAGTTTAGTAGTAGTTGCACAGCTTGATTTCTAAAAAACAACAATTCAATATTTTTTTATACATTTTAACTATACTAAGCGAGTTTAGAGTTTTCAATCTAAAATAAAAAATATTATAACAAGTTAACTTGCAAGGAATATATTGACTAAATTTGAAGTTAATAAACTAAAATAAAAATATTTACATATTTGTTCGAATAATTTTGATTATATAAAGAAGAAAAAAATTAATAAAACATGTGAATTCTTTTTCTTTCTTTTTTTCCTCCTTCTTAAATTTTTTTATTTTTTATTTCTGTGTTATGCATGGCTAGTCCTTGAATATAGACCTTACGCATAGAGCGACCATCTTCTTTTTATTTTTCACATTTGACTTTCAACTATTAATTAATTAATTTGAGTTTTTTCTAAAAAAATTGAGAAAAAATTATTTGAAACACACTTTTAATCTAAAAATGTATTTTAGACAAATTATATATATATATTAATCATGCCACTATAATTTAAAAATGATCTAAATCTATTTTTCAAAAGAAAAAATAATAATATTATAAAAATTTATTCCAAAATTCATACATATAGAAGAATAAATCAAAACTTTTAGTAAATATAATTTTAAATTAATTGAATGAAAATTAAAAAAAAAGAGGATAAATTAATGTAGTAAATTTTAAATAATTAAAATAATTAAAAAAATACCAAAACAAAAAGGGATGAATATAATTAAAGTTTGAAATTGAAAAAAAAGAATTTTAAAAAAAGATAAATTAATGTAGTAAATTTTAAATAATATAAAAACAACCGAGAAAAAATTATTTGAAATACACTTTTAATATAAAAATATATTTTAGAAAAATTATATATATTGATCATACCACTATAATTTAACAATGATCTAAATCTATTTTTCAAAAGAGAAAATAATAATGTTCTAAAAATTTATTCCAAAATCCATACATATAGAAAAATAAATCAAAATTATCAGTAAATATAATTTTAAATTAATTGAAGGAGAATTTAAAAAAATGACAAATTAAAATAATAAATTTTAAATAATAAAGATAATTAACAAAAAACACTAAAATAAAATGGAACCAAATCACAATATAATTAAAGTTTGAAATTAAAAAAAGAAGAAGATAAATTAAAGTAGTAAATTTTTAATAATAAAAAAATTAACAAATTAAAGTTTGAAATTGAAAAAAAAATAGGTAATTTAAAAAATAACAAATTAAAATAGTAAATTTTAAATAATAAAAATAATTAATAGAAAACATTAAAGCAAAATGAGACCAAATCACAATACTTTTAAATTGAAAAAAAACGTTTAGAAAATTTGAGAATCAAAGTGTTAAAAAAATGACATGAATAATGAAATGAATAATAATTTATGAGTATGTAAATAATGATTTGTGAGTGTATAAATAATGAAATGAATAGTAAAAGTATGGTTTACTTTAGTTTATTTTATAAGTACTCTTATATTTATAATGTCTGTAAGATTTTTTGAATCCCATTAAATCTTGTATATTCCGTTTTTATTTATTTATATTACTATTATTTTATTAAATTGCATTAGTCATGATGATATGTGTTGAATTTCCAATCTCTAATTTTCGAACAGTTTGAAAGGCAACAATTCCGGCAATGACAGGGACGTCATCCCGCGAGGAAGATGCAGAGGACACAAATACATTCCCTATTTCCAAATTTTCATGGCTACCCGCAGTCTCGGCTCACTTGGGCCACAATATATAAGACCCAACAAGCAACATGTGAGCCCACATGAAAGAATGACAAGTCACACAGTACATTCGATAAGGAAAACATGGTGGACCAGCCCAAAATCCGATTTGCCCGAGAAAGGAAACACACACAGGTCTTTGGTCCCAAAATGTAGAATACCTTGTCAATTGTACAAACCATGTTGGCCTCCTCTGTATGTTGTTTATTGTCTTATTCACAACTACACCCAACTTCATTTAATTCATACGTCTTTCTGGTTCCTCATACCCATTTCGCATTAATGATCTATGGTCCTAATTCATAGGATCCTAGCTAGCACATGCTTCCAATACATTTCCATCATTTTGACAGATACTTTTGAGAATTTTTTTTTTTTTTTTTTTTTTTTTTTTGGGCTGAATAGTTTTTTTCCCTTTTAAAAAATATAAAAAGTAGTTAGATATTCCAATTTCTTTTCTTTTTTTTTTTAACGTTTTAATCACACTGTTTTTTTTTATATCTAAAATTATCCTCATCATATTTTTATCAGAGTTAAAGTTTAAAATCTTTTTTTTTTATAGTTACGATCATACATAAAAATATAGATATATTATCAACTATAAATTGTGAGAAATAAAATTCCAATTCTCATAAAGAAATGTTCTATAAAAAAAAAAAAAAAACTCACTTATAGCTACACCAAGCCACGTTCACCGATTGAATTACTTGGTTATTTACTTGCCAGACACATTTTGCTATTTTTCTTGCAAAATTAATGTTCTTTTCTTCCTTTTAACGAGGTGGCCGGGAATTCACACTCTTTGAACCCGGTTAGGCCCAGGCCCATCAGGACATTTTGTGTATGTCCATATTATAATAACTCCGAATCAATTACTTCGTTAACTATGCTCTGCTCTAGGGATTCCGGAGAAAAAAAAAAAAAGCATACCCTTGAGATGGAAGGAAAGGATATTATACTATTATTTTATCCTTTCATGTAACTTTCAGGGTTGCAAAGCCTAGTCAGCTTCCACAAAGAGCTCATGACGATTCAATAATTATCAAAATCATAGTATAAGAATCTCTGTAGTATTAATAAAATATGATATCTTATGTACAAAATCATTCCTAGCTAGCTAACCCTAAAAACCTGCATCATTCCTGTAATGCTGTTTAACTCTATTAACTTTATTATATGCTAAAAATCTTCTTTATTAATTTCTATGTACACTTAATTGTGGATTGGAGGTTTTTTCCTCGCTGGAGAATAGTCCATTTCAGTTAAGTCCATTTCCTCGTAGTGATCCTTGGTGACTTGTTGCTCAGAATTAACAGATAGTTTTTCATGTTTTCCTGCTATTTCTCCATTACTCGATCTTCCTTTGGCTATGGGGTCAGCATTATTTCCTCCATTCTTGTCATTCTGTTCAATCACATAGAGAAAGTAAGAAGATAAGGTTGAGGCCTTATTATTCATTCCCTGCTTATCTACTAGGGAAATTTAACTAGTTATGCTAAACTATATAATTTGTGCATAATAACCAACCTTTGAGGTGGTGATCATAGTAGTAGTGCTAGAAGTAGAGGTTGTCACAGTAATAAGTTTCCTATTCATTCCTGCAAAATACATGTAAAAAATAGTTTAGGATATATGATTGGAGAAGGTGCGATCAACGTTTTCATTGCTTCTTGTTCATGAAGTTTCTACTCAAAACTAAGATTCAGACAAGATCCCATTCAAGGATTGAAGCTAATTAAATTGGTGAGAAGATTGAAGAATAACAGTTTCATATTCAGTTTCTTGGGGACAATATTATTTGCTTTATAGACTACTATTAGTACATGATCAAGGGTTTAAATCTTCAAAAACCCAGCAGCTATCACTCATGTTAGAATTTCAGCACGAAAAAAGAAAAAAAAACCATTAGTAGTACTAATTGCCATGGACCTGAACTAAAAGTCAAGTCATAATTATAGAGAAGAGAGACTAATGGTGTTTAGGTTTGTGATTCCTAGGACCATAGTAATCTTCATGAATGCTTGGTAACCAGTGATGAGAAGATTTCTTGGACACTGATTTAGAAACTCTTTTCTCCATGGTACCTGTACAATGCTCTTCTTTGCAGAGAATGACTTCTCCAAGTACACCACCATTAGTACTTCTTTCTTTCAAAGAACTCTTCTCCTCCTGCACATGATCAATCACTTAGCATCACAAGCACTGAAGGTAGATTAAAATAAGTAAAAATATTCATTGGAATGCTTCAGAATGTGTAAACCATCAAGAAACTGAATAACCCACCTGGACTTTTTGAGCTCCAACTTGCATGAATCCTTTTTCCAAACGAATCCCTGCAGAAAATTAATAACAACTGATGTTAAAACATAATAATATACCATGCAAAAGTAAGACTCTTTGGCAACTTCAGATGATTGATATTTTTAGTACACACATATATATACACGTACCTTGAGCCTCTTGAAGAAGAATGGCCAAAAGCAGAAGAGAAACTACCAAAGACGGCCTCATTTGGAGAAAAGATTGTAAACAAGAGAGATTAGAGTAAGAGAAGGGGAGGGATATGACCAGTCAAGGTCAGGTCTAGAAGAAGATACCGAACTAATGTGGTTTTTCTTTTGGCTTGTAATTCTTGTAGAACTATAATGTTCTGTAGATATTGTGAATGAATGCTATAGTACTATAGAAGAGGGCAAAAGGCTAGATGTGTGTGTGTGTATATATATATATATATATTTATATATATAGAAGGTTTTTGGACCTACAAGGAAGCTCTCCGACAGGCACTTTAATAAGAAGGGGGGCAACCTATTATCTTAATTCCAGAAGGAAAATGTGCAGGTTGTGGGTCTTGGTATTATGAGAAGCCGGGGTTTAAAAGCCTATGGGGTTAGATTTGTAATTTCCAAAGATGGCTTCTCCATTTTTTCCCCTTGGTCACTTTCAACCAATTCATCTTTTTCTTCCCATTGAAGTGTTGAGAGTCGTTTAGCATCTTATAATTCTTGTATAGTTAAGTGTGTTGTTTGCTATCTAATTAATTAAATAAATCTAAAGAAATAATTTTGATGTATTAGCATTTGTGTTTCATAAACATAGAGTTTAATTCGAGAAAATTTGAACTTGAAGATTGTTTGATGGTTAAGACAATCCTTTTTTAATTATTATATATTTTTATATATATATTTTTAATTTTTTTTTTATATATTCTCATTTTATATTGGAAATAAAATTTATTTTGTTTGAAGTGAGAGCAACCAGATTTAATCTATTTTAATAAATATGATTTTAAAATTCAAACTCTGCATATTGACAAAAAATTCTTTATAGAGACTATTTTGTTTATCATTAAACTAACAACTTATTGATAAGTATTATATTTATATTAGGTTATGAAAAGTAAAATTATCATAAATGTTCTTATTTCATCATGAGTAGCTTACCTAAATAAACTTATATTTTTCCTATTAAGATTGTCACGTATTTGTCGTATATATATTACATGTAGTGTAAAGTTATTCAAACCAATTCAATATAAGGAGGCATGGGTAGTCATTTTCTTCATCACCATTTCACTATATTTTTGGAAACCATGTGCTTGGTGCTGTTTTGTTAGATTGTGATATTGCATAATAGTGTTCGAAAGAAAAGTAAATTTAGAAGCTAGTTGAAAGCACGTAAACTAGCAAAACTAAACCCTTTTTTTTTTTTTTTTTTTGTGAATTTTCGGACCTGCCCTACTCTTTTACGGTAGAATGAGGATCTTTAGAATTCTCTGCCAAATTGTGTCTCATTGAGTACAAGTTCTTCCAAATGCATGCTACCACTCCATTACATGAGTAATTTTTGTCTCACCGAGTTTTAGGTCTCAACTTCTCGGATTAGACAATAGATTGGATTGGCAATTTAATTAGCATGCGTACTATCACCATCCATCACATTTGCATGCGTACTATCACCATCGATCACATTTCCATGCATCTCTCTTCTAGATTTTGGGCACCTCAGCCATTTATTCACATAGATGATTGATCATATCATATGGCTATAATCAAAGGGAGATTCCTTTTGAGTGATTGATCTGATATCAGATGGCTAATTATATTGGACGGATGCTTTCTTTGGATGATAGCATGTCAATTGGGACATGGCTGATTTTGAATGAGAGGGGACACCTTGAAAAATCTAATCTATATGCATGCATTTTGTAGTTCCCTTTTGGTTCTCTGCTGGACCTTTTTAACTTTCGGAAAAGTAAGTGTTTAATTAATTAGTGATATGACATTGTTTATGGTTGCAAACTATTCTTCCATATCGCAATTTATTAGCAAATCCATTTCCTCCACACAGAATAATTGAACGGCGGATAATCCGTTAATTAGGGTTTAACCCTTTCTTGTCAATTGAATGAGGGTCAATTAATCGCAAATTAAAGTTTGTCCACGTATGGAGAAGTTGTGGACGTCCAAATGCACAAGTATTGAGTGTCATCGCCTTAAAAAATGTAGCTCAATTATATTTAATAGCTAAATCCCAATTTTCTAGTAGCTTAATATCAATTTCAAACAAATGATAGTTGGTTTTAAAAATATATACGATATTTTACGAGACTCAAATCAAATGATAAATGAATTTGTTTTTTATGTTATAATCAGAGGTTTAAATTTTTTAAAAAAATCGGTTTTTTTTTTATAAATATATTAATTTGAATGTAGATTAGCTTACTTAAAATTCAATAAGAAAAAAAATTTAAAGTTTTTATACTAATCCAAATATATATTAAGTTTTTATTTTGAATAAATTTTTACAGTTATTATATACTTTTTATAAAATATGTAATCCTTTGTAGAATGGGAAAAGTAATAAATGGAGAGCAGGAGAGAGTGAAAAGGAGTTTCATCCAATTGAAAAAACAAGAAGAAAACAAAGAAAAAGAAGAAAGTAGTAAAAGAATGAAATAAAAGGGTAGAAATCAACAGTTGACGAATTAGCAATGGAGAGAGAAAAGAACATAGTGGGCCATGGGCCAACATGTAGAAGAGGGAACAAGAGGAGTTAATGTGACTGGTGACAGACAAGGGTGAAAGTCACCCCCAATTGTGCGTGATCGGATATCACAATTTGGCCAATTTTGGTCCGTTGGATGCACCAATGCGTGGGCAATCCACGTGGACGTCCATATCTGAGGGCCCAGTAATGTATGACATGGAAGACAACTTGCCACGTGGTCAATGCCGGTTCACGAGGTGTGCCAATGTTTTGAACAACAAGAAAACATCTTAAGAGCTACCGTGTTCCATACTGCTAGGGTGGGCCTGCTTTCATTTATGACATTCACGGGCTGTAACTGAGACGGATCTCCACTCCAACGAAACCTAAAAATTGGTAGGTTATACTTATGAGGCATGTCCAAATTCTTCTTTTTTTTTTTTTCAAAAAAGAAAAAAGAAATATTAGAGTGTTATAATCTAATTAACATTTCTCTAATACCTAACTTTTTTTCTCTCTCAACCACTATCGAGTAATATTTTTAGTTAGCGATCAGTCTCAAAACTCTTATCTTTCTCCTTTTTGCTTTGATTTCTTTACTTCTCCTATCTTTCATTTTTTTCTTCTTAGAGTTGAATCTATATTTCCAAATCTTACCACATTTTTAATAAAGAAAATTTAGATTCTTACAGATCTAGATTTTATTTTATTTGTCATTGTAGATTCAGATTTAAACTATCTAAATCTGATTTTTTGTTTGTATTCCCCTCTTGTTGGAGGTTTGGTTCCCTGTATATTCGAGTTTATTTTCTTTTGAATAAAGATTTGGTGCTTTTTAAGTTGTTTTGAAGATTTTAGTAATAGTTAACAGGAGAAGGATCTTCCATCAATAATATAAATTTCTGCAAAAAAGGCATATTTTTTTTTACTAAATGATTTTTTTAAAAAAACTAATTTGATCAATGACAGGTCATATAGTATAGGAAAAACAAAGAGTTTACGTTTGCTTCAAGCTGCAGGGTCTGTAAAAAACCCTTGATTTCTATTACTTCACGGGCTCACATGATCAATGTGTAATCGCAAAGGAAAATATTTTTTTATGAAAAGTTATCTGTAAACAATTTCAAAGAGTGTCTCCCGCTTCTCAATTCTCTATCTAGTTCTTTTTCAAAAATAAACTCACCATTAACTTCTTATAAACTGTCAGAGAGTTTTTACAAAAGAGTTTTAACGGATCTTCTGAAACTGTGAATTTTGGACTTGGAAATGTCCATCATGAACGTTCCAATCTATAACCAAATCCAACATGTAGGTTAAATAATGTTCTAAAAATCTTATTTTTCAGGCTTCATATTTTAATCCTAACAATCAAAGAAAGATGTATAAACTGTTGATTATCGTGCCTATTTTCACAATTTCACGACTACTAAAAATTAACCTTATTGTATGCATAACTTCATTTGATTCTACATCTGCCAAGATAACATTGTAGAAATTTTTTATTGAGCAACGTATTGTCCATTTCATGGAACGAATATCCACATATCATTTCAGAAAAATACAAAAAAAAAAAGCTTTCAAACATGAAAGCTTTATTTGTTAAATTCCGGAGGAAACAAAAATTTGAAATTTTGTTCGGAATCAACATCAGTTCATCTGAACGTACGTTAACATGTTTTTAGTTTGTCAGCTCTTTTGTCTTGCAAGAATCCTATTCAACTAAATTAGGTAATCCCGCTCAAGGAAGACAAAATCTTATGCTTGCTAGCTAGCTCGCTCTAATTTCTCTACTTTATTCAGAAAAGTGGAAAGCTGAAATCGGTAGGTGCAAGGAATTAATTCAAGTTATTAAAGTACTATCTAAATTCTAATACAAACAAGACGGTTTTACTTTAGAAATATTCTATGACTCGAACGAACTTAGCATTTCACTCAAACACAAATTATATGCATGATTGATAACATAACATAACATATATAGTAAAGCATGCAAACTCTAATTATTCATAATATAAACAAGCAGGACTCCATTGTGGTGATGATGCTACATTGGGAACATTCTTTAAGAACTACTTATTGATATTATTATAGTATGGGTTCAATCGTTCTTTGGATTTTTGATGATCAAAATTGAGTATATTTTGAGGGATTCTTGGGATTTGTCAACGAATATTATTCTGTGCCGTGAAAGGAAAAAAACATACCCTGAATAAATAAACTTGCTAGTGATTCATAAATTAGTATGGGATGAAAAAACTAAATATTAAGATAATAGATTTAGTTGAATTTGCTAATGCATCCATTTTTCAAGGGATGAACTATATATCTCTAATTATGTTTTTAATGTTTTAATGAATTGGGTTTTAATTAGTCATCAAATTTTTAAAACCTATAAAATTGATCTTCTTCAAAGAAATTGGTAGATAGACTTAGTTTATCGCATCGCCTATTAATTAGATCAATAAAAACAAACACACATAAACAAACAATAATGATCTTCCGCCTGGTAATGTATGCATTTAACCTGATTTTATCTGTGTCCAAGTTTACCTAATCATTTAAACTCAGTCCAATGTTACCTCTATTATTTTTTCACTTAAAATATACTTACAAAGATTAATATACTAAAGTCTAACTAATTTCCCATACTCTCATAGATATAATTACCCTCCTGTTTTCACGTAATTTTATCACCATATTCAAATTTAGATATGATTACCCTTTGCTTTGTGAAAAAAGAAAAAAAAGCCTTTGCTACATGGATTAACGCACATTTGTCTTGTTTTGAACCAAGGTGATTGGTTTTAACTGCATGGGATCAATGAACGTAACTTTTTATTTTTAGAATAAATTCAAGATACAAAAAAGTAAGCAAGAGATTATCGGCCGACAAGGAGACATATGTGAGCTTGTTTCTCGGACTCATTGGAACAAGCTCTGGCCGCTAACTCAAAAGGGCCCTAAATTTTACTGTGGATACATGTTTTAAGATATTTTGTCTGGTTTTATCCAAACAATGCATCTTCACAAGGTGGATATTGCTTTAATTGGATTGGAGTGGAGTTTCTTATAAAATTTGAAGTACATAAATCCCACCTTTTGTTATTCAATAGCTTCAATAACATATCGTTTGAACTAACCATAAGACAACTATACATTAATAAAAATGCAAGTTATAATTTATGTGGAATCTATTACATGATTAGAGCAACTTTTGACAAGTCAAACCATTGCAACTCTATCCATAGTAGCTCATGCCTGATGAAAGGATGTAAAATAGTGGACTCCCAAAGGATAGTCCAGCACCACTCGTTCAATTTGGGACTTCTAATTTAATGGGGGATCAATGTCAACTCTTAGGTGGTTGAGTTGAGGTTTACAGAATATATAGGAGAGACTACGTGCCAATTGCATATCACATTCATCCAATATATATATATATATATATATATATATATATATATTGGCATCTCTATTTTAATCGGATTTCTCTCGTATTTGAATCCAGTGTTTATTTTTTTTATTAATACTCTATAATTTTTTTTTTTATTGAAATCATCTATTTTTAAATTTTTTATTTTATACTCTTTGTTATAATACCGACTCTTATTCATCTGACGATATTAATCAGATTTCAAGAAACGTTTTATTTTCGTAATATTGTTCTATTTCATGGATTCACCGTACATTTCTTACTGATTTGTTTTTTTATAGTAATAATATCTTATTCGAGAAAAATCATTAGAAGTCACTAAACAAGACGCAAAGCATGTATGCCAGCGATCCTAGAGAACATCACTGTTATTTGTATTTTTATTGATATTTCCAATAAACAAGTTATTGTTACTGTGGATGTAAAATTGTTTGATAAATTTGCTCTCAATCCAAAAGAATTTGACCCCTTTTAAGTAATTTTAACACCATTTATTATATTTTTATTTTTGATTTTACTTAAATATTTTCACCTCACATTCAAAATAAAAATAATCATATTCGGAATAAAAGCGATAATATTTGATCTCTTTTAATAAATATAATTTTAAGATTCGAATCCTTAATAATGATAAAAAATTTACTTGAAAACCAGTTGGTTTATCATTAAATCAATATCTTGTTATTTATTATATTTTTATTGACATTTCCAACACATGAATTAATCTATATATACGTACCCATTTAGTTTCCTTGTTTTTTTTTTTTTTTTCAATGGCATTGCTATGCCGGTTTAATTTCGCAGACGTTGTTGACTCTTATATATTCTTGACTATGTTTGGAAAATAAAGAGAAGATGTTACGTTGATGCCCAACCTCAGTGCGAAGAACATGCCGGTGTAGTATTAAATATGCAACAGAGACATAATATCTTCCTTGAAAACTTGTCTTTCACAAAAAACTCGTTTGATTTTTTTTACAGGCTATTAATTTTCAGGTCTTTAAGTTGTCTTCCACAAAATCGATTTTCTCCTGATGTTTAATGGAACGTTTTCAAATTCAGAGAAATGCTCTAATGCATGATAATGTTGACTTCAACAATTAGGAGTCCTGTAGGGTTTATGATGACCCGAATTTATAACCATTTCTACCAGAATCTGGAGAATTTTTATTCACTTTGTCAGGTGACTCGGGTCCAACTCTTTTTATTGATTGCACATGCATCCTTGAATGGGATGACAGCGCAACAGAGAGAACAATTAGCCTCTGCTCTGCCACCAGATAGTTATTGCTTATATACCAAACTTCATCACCAATTTTTTTTTTTTTTCTGTATCATTAGATTATCGATAAATACTCTAAATAATCCTTCATTATTCGATTGAAAATACAAGACAACATAATTAACCAAAAAACATTTCTACATACATAAAAATTTAAATTTGAAACAATTTGTTTAAATGATTAGAATCCATCTCACTAAAGCCAACCCTATTTATACAACTAAATATACAATGAACAAAAAGAGTCTTTTTCTATTAGAGGTCTAGCATTAAACAGGGGAAAGGTGGATGAGAAATGTAGAGATTGCAAGGAAGGATTCTCCATTTACAAGACCACCTAGACTTAATTGATTAAAAGTGATTAACATCATCATCATCATCATCAATAGGTCTTTGCAACCCATATCAACTGTTAGACATTAAGAAGTTAGCATTAGTAATTAATGATTATCAAAATAAGAGAAGAGGTTGTATTGGCATGACAGATTGAATTGATAATCATTATACAATAAAAAAATAACTTTAACTTTCTTCTGCGATTTTTTTGTAAGGACATCACTAAATCAAAAGCCTAAGTGTGATTAATTGATTTGCAACCACATTGACTATACTTCTCTAGATTTGGCACACGTTATTAGAAGAAAATCCCATGACGACATGAATGAAACAAATGCGTATAATAATGTCCCCACATCCTTTACAACATGGACAAGATCGTCAACGCAAGAGTCGTAACCCATCTTCTCATACACTAAGCAAGCAAAATTCCATTAGTCATAGACGTTGAATTTTTTGTTAACTTGTCTCACAAAGTCTAAATATGCATGCAAGGCAAACAAATCTTCCATGTATATGTCATCGACAACACAAAGATATAGACATGCTGCTCATATTCGATCACCACGATGTCAATACACATCCCTTTCTTCTTTACTTCTATGCTTTCCCATACCGAAGAGTTAAACCCTCAAATGTTGTTGTTCTAACATCTTCACATGGGCATGAGCCCCGCCAGTGGTGGCTGCTCGTGATCAAGTCCATGGAGTTAGGATGGTCTGGCAAGATTTGCAATCAAATTCACCGACCGCAGAAATTGACCCATTTTCATTATACTTGATCCGGCCTCATGTGCGTGAGAGATCACAAGACTTCACTTGATGTATAGAAGTCAAGCATTCAAATTCTCTTTTTAAAATATTTATTTTTTTTTTAAATAATCACAAAAGAAAGCTAGAATAATCTCTCAAATTTACAATTTCATGACCAATTCAGTTTCTGTCTTGGATCTACTAAAAAAAAAAAAAAACCATGTTGTTTTGCTTTAGCAATAAGATATATATGATTTTTTTTTTCATTTGGATGAAATTTATCACATCAACTATACAATGACCAAACTATAAGTTAAAGAGGCTGATCTTACGAGGAAGTTATGGTGGTGCATGGAGTTTAGCGTCTCATAAAACTCTATGTCATATAGGTTTTATGAAGTAACATATCTTGTCATAGATTAGGGGAAAAAAAACTTATAAATGATATCAGGACCAGCCCCAGGAGGAAAAAAACCCTAGTAATTAATGAATAACTCAACAGTTGGAATAATTTTGTACATAGTTGAATGGCAGTTTCCCTGTTTTCTAGGCTGATGAAATCGATCCTCATTAACAAAAACAAGAAAATAATATGCTGACTTAATTCAAACCCTTATGAAATTCCCAACTGATCGTTGTTGTTTTGTTTAAAAAGAATTCATTTTTGACTGAGAAGAATTGATGATATGTAAGAAAATGAGAGATTTTCTAATATTTGTGTAACGCAAACGTAGGCAAGCACCATTTGAATATTTCAAATCGAGAGCCCATAACTGGCCTTTTCCATGAGAAGTTATGGGCTCCAGCTGAGAGACCATGACTCCATTCTTCTGCGGCCATTTGGTTTCCAAAGGATATGCGTATCATATATGTTTTGTGTTGAGAATTTAATCCCATTCTATTTAAATTATATTTTACGAGAAAATAATCAAATCAAATATAATAACTTTAAATTTACATGAAAAACTCTCTTTATCATGTAGAAAAAAATTCATATGATCAATTCTAAAATAATTCATTATAGAAAATAATACAGTCACTCAAAAAATTTCCATAAACTTAAAAAAAAAATTGATATTAATACAAATTAATTATCTCTCTAGCTAGATCTATCTCGTCACAAAAACTTAAAATTTATAAAATCTTCATATTTCTATAAAGTGTAATAATATATGAGATCACCACTTGAATTATTTCAAATGAGACGTAGCACGAGCAATCAATTAATATAAAACTAAAATGTTTCGGAAAATAGTCACACTAATGGTAGTTCTAGGAGTCCACTCGTTTCTTTCTTGTATGAATGAGGCTAGCGCCAAAGTTTTAATCATTGGCTTTCCTGGTCCTTATGACGAGGTTTGTCTTCCTTGTTTGTTTCGATTAATTCAAATATTCTGCTTAGGCATGAAAATTTAATAAGCTTATCTCGAATGAGTTTGAGCAAACACTATTTATGGTTTTATGAATTCTCTCAATCCAACTTGGTAACATGAAAAGGTAATATATCCCATGAATTGGCATTGGCTCCTAAGGAAATGGAAGTAATATCTTTCTCGTTCTTCTGTTCTGCGCCTTTGGGCAATTGCTACTGAATTTGTAAGCATGTATTTGACTACGTGATGTTAATGCAGTTCGAAATGGCTAGAAGTACTTCAAACATGCCGAAAGGGGTCTTCTAGTGGATATATTCTGAGGTAGTGGCTTGTTTTTCAGAAAATTTGCCAAATCTGAAACATATTTGGAAGTTATTGCGCTTGGTACTCTGAAAACACGCTTCACCAGATTTATGATTACATCAAGCCAGATAATACTATCTCAATGACATAAGAAGACACCATGCTACTAAATGCTACTCTATTTTGGGCAATCTCTTATGTATTGACCATTGACGTATAAGAAGACACCATGCTACTAAATGCTTTCAGTTACAGAAAATTTTAACAGAAAAGTGAAGCCAAATTATTTCTTGAAGTGAGAGCTTCACAACATTGGCAGGGTTACTGCGGCAAACATCTTGCACATAATTTGGTGTATCGAGCCATTTTCATTTCAAAACACTTTCTGTGAAAATTTCAAATGCATGACACACATCATATCTCTTGCTTTTTTTTTTTTATCTGGATTCAGAAACTCATTATAAATTTACTAGTAAAGGCACATAGAACTCGAAAATAGAGGTGTGCAGAATACTTGGTAACGTTATTTTGTTCTGTTGGGACTTCAGGGACCCCTTTCTGTGCAGCTCTGTGGCAAGAATGCAATTTGAAGTTTTTTTTCTCCTTAGGCTCTGTTGATAATTATTGTTGTGGGTTGCAGCTCTTCTGAGATGCCAAGTGAGACCAATTGGTCATCACAAGGGGAACTTCAATCCTTCTGAAACTTCATCTGAATTATTGGATGAACCTGTGGAACAATGTTTTTCCATAATTATGAAGCCGAAGATTGTTGATCGATCAAGTCAAAAAGTTCGTTTCCTATCCCAAATCCAAGCATCCTAGCCATGTCACTAGTCTTGAGTCTAGGCTTTGGAACATTCTGCTGCTGCAACCAAGAGTACACCACGAAAACTTTCTTCATGACAAACAATTCCAGTGCCTCGGGATTGAATACTACTCCCAATTTCATATTCACCTGCCAATAGAAAATTCAAAAGTTAGGCCTTTCCATCATGCTCTATTAGATCCTTGAATTATATGCAATCTCATCCATTATCTGTTACCTGGTGAGGGACTAGCATTGCTGCATACCGAGCCAGTTCTCCAGCTCGCCAGTCCAACAAGACAGGCAACCAAGGATAAGTAGCATCGAGCCTCAAAAACCATAGTCTTATATCAGGGAATTCTGATAGTTCTCGAGGATCCATCGGATCTTCTCTTGTGTAGTTAATAGTAAATCCAATTGTACGCTCAAGAAACTCTTTTGGCTCCACTGTAAAAAGGTTGCCAAGAAGACCTTATTATGGCAATTAACTAGTACCAGATACAAGAGTTTAAGCTTTGTTTATATGGTGCTTACCTTGTGAGGGTGAGGTAATCCCTGTGACATTGTGAAAGGGAGATAAGTCAAGACGCCGAATTATATCATTGTCGATAACAATCTCGAATCTGCCTTCAGTTGGGGGCATTGGAGGTGGTCTAACTTCAGGTGAACCTGCCATTCAGTAAAGATTAAATTAAACAGAATTTACTTGTCCATGCTAATTCAAACTCTAGTATCAAATTAATCACCAACCATGAGTATTTCTGAATTCTGCCTCTTTTGGCAACTTAATAAAGTTTATCTTAAAAAGTTTGGTGCTGGGTGTTGATATCTAAAACAATACCTCCAAGAAAGGAGGTTTAATCCGCTTCACATTAAAATGTGTACACTGGTAAATGGCCTAAACTAATAAATGTCCTAAAAACTTCCCAAGAAAGACAGCTTAATTCAGAACAAAAAGAAAAACAAAAGTCTGGTATTTTTGTTTTTGTCACTACTATTTCATTGAGGTTGCGCATGCTTCGCTCTTCTTCTTTCTAATATCTTCAAATGAGATTTTCAAAGATTCAGCTAACAATACAAGAACACCAATTCTACAGAAATATCATGATTGACAATGCATAATTATAAAAATGAGATTATTACCCTCTTCTTCATCATATATAGGAAGGTCGAAATTCCCAGATGGATTGAAAGCAACATAGACTGCAACTTGTCCTTGTCGTCTAGTAAAGTGCGAAACCGGCAAAGTAGCTAATGAATCTGAAATGGGTTTGCAAGAAATCCTTGGATAGTTGAAGGGTAGAATCTGTTTTTGTGAAGGAAAATTTAGAAACAAAGGTTTGATGATTGTAGCCATGGAAGGTATACTATGTAGGAAGTCTCATAGTATGTGGTATGAGGCAGTCAATACAGTTTTGTCCTGTTTTTCCAGTTTATCTTACTTCGTGGCCTTGTCTTTAAGAAGTCCATATCCTTTTTGGGTTTTTATTGTATGCAGCTCACACCTATCAACTAACAATTATTGTGGCCCTCTCATTTATTTATTTATTTACTAGAGAAACTGGTGCTACGTTGGTGTGACAAAACCGTGGCCGAAAAGGAACACTGATGACATTGAAATATGCAAATTTACATTGAACTGTCAAAATTTGTCAAGTCTGCCACTGCTATGTTTCAGAGAAAAACCAAATGAAACATCTGAAACATTGAATTTGACTATTCATGGTGCCAGAAACTAGAGTCTTGTCCTATTACTAATGTTTATTTTTTAGCCACGTCCACTACTAAACAAGTTTTAAGCAGCAGAGTGATTATAAACTCTTATTATAAAGCCACTGATATTCAATTATATCAGCCACGTCCACTACTAATGATAAAAGTTTTAAGCAGCAGAGTGATTATAAACTCTTATTATAAAGCCACTGATATTCATTGCATGTCATTGCCATCAATTGATTATTCTGTCTTGTGCAGCTTGCAGGAGCAAGCATACACAGTTACATGGCATGAGCTTGAGACAGAGCTTTCAAAGAATTTGATTAACCTCACTTAGTAGTGAGGCCTTTATAATCTATTGGTGCATATGGTATAAACAAGTCTGCTAAAAGTCCTTTCTTTCTTCTGGGATTGTATCCCATGTCCTTGCAAAGTTGGTCACTGTACCATATGTAAGTGCGGCTAATACAAGCTGTCCTAAAGTACCGACCTGAAACTTGTTTGATGTGATCTGCCCACATGTTTGCTTCCTTTTCCATGTCTCTTATACTTGGCAGTTCAAGGTTTCCATCAAGGAGATGTGACAGCCATCGACATTTGATTTCATTGATGTCCAAACTTGAGAAACTGTCATTGGATCCTACTATAGCCAATCGAGGAATTCGAGGATGAATTATTTGTCTGCAGAAATGCAAAAGAGGTTGTCGTATTAACACTAAGCATGCAATTTCTATCTGGATGTATCCATTCAGCAATCTAAGGAACATACGGAAGCCAAGATAGCTAGAAATAAGAAAAGAAAAGACCTATAGAGGGAAACTATAGCAGTAGATGACCCCATTATGTAGTTTTGGAAAACTGGAGACTCAAAAATGTTTCTCAGTTTTTCGTCACCCTTGAATCCTGTTGCGAAAATCACAACATCTGTTTCTAATGGCCGAGTGTCTCCGTCTATGATTAGACCTTCTCGAAAGAAGCTGAACCTTTGTGAATTCTCGATAATAATGCTTCCTTCTTCTACTCTGTCGTAGAATTTGCCAGGCAGCATTGCAAAACTACATGAAGATAAATCTTCAAGAAACCTGAATTTGGGTAGCATTCCATACTTCTTCAACGGAAGATTCCATTTAAGGTAGGTCTCAATGAATTTTGAAATTCCCCATCTCTGAAAATCCGAAAATTGGCATCAGAATTGAGAACAACTCGCATATATTATTCTTGAACAAAAGCAAATTGGAAGAATGAACAAATTTACCAAGGGTGAAAACAAGGTGGCTACAAAACTTAATAGAATTGTTTCCCCAGGCTTATGAACCAACAGTTCTGAGAATCGATTGAAGTACAAGAAACCAAGCAGAAGTCCACTCAGATTGTCGGAGGGCAAAAACCAGTGTGCATTCCTTTGAATTAATGTGCACGGGTACTTCACTCCTGAATGATAGATTATAGCAAGTCAGTTTAAACTTCAAATGACAACAGAGCAGAATCTAGCTAAGCACTCCGTCTACAAATTCCAGTGGCAGCATAGACCTTTATTTTTGTTAAAGGAATGACTGAGTCTTCTCGATAATCTGATGAAAGCGTTGAAGTAGGAATATTTGCTTTAACAGAATGTTTTCTTACCATTCGCATTGGCACATTCTGCTGCTATGTCAACTGCACTTTTACGAGAACCGATTATCGTAACTCTATTTGCTTTTATCAATTCTGTAGCAGTCAAATTGTCCAAAGCTGAGAAGTCCTCTGAATGTATCACCTTGCCCTTGAACACTTCAGGTACTTGATTTGGAAGGAACTCTGGAATATTTGGAATGCCACTGAATTTTCCAACGCAAAGAAGAACAAATTCAGCGTGATACACCTGAGCAGTATAATTCTTCAGTTATTTATGAAAAAATAGCCACAACGAAAGCCAATAACAACATGGACCTTCAAAAAATAAACATACCTGTATGCTGCAAGTTTTGGTGTCTTGAACTTTGACATGCCATTTCCCTTTGGAGCCAAAGGGCTTGCCTGTCCCACCCCAAAGAGCCCACGACTCCATCTCTTCATTAGACTCTCCAACATACTCTAAACCAATGACCTTGGAATCGAACTTGATGCAAGGGAAGATATTGAAATGCTGTGCATAAGATTCAAGATACTCCATCACTTGATTGTGAGTAGGATATGTATCTTTTATTGAAGATGGCCATGCAAAATCAGAAAACTGGTAAATTTCTTTGGTGTTTTGGAGTCTGGTTGATTCTAAAGTATGTGTCCAAACTCCTCCAATTCTTTCTTCAGCTTCGAAAACCATCGGATTGAGTCCGATATTGAGAGTGTACTTACAGGTAAGAAGGCCACTAACTCCAGATCCAACAATTACTACCTTCTTTTCCATTAGTCCACTTGGATGAGTTTGAAACCAGGGTTTCTACATTAAATACAAATTGCAATAAGATAATGCCAGATGCTATTGAACGGTAAGATTCATGAATCATGACAATTATGTCGTAATAGTTAAATAGTTAGGGGGTGCTGATTTGATTTTTCGGTTTGATTTCGTACAATTTCAGTTCTGCTTTTAGTTAACCAAATCACCAAACATAAAAAATTTTAAAATTATTTGTCAAAATAGACTGAAATTTAATCAGCTTTAATGAAAAAATTCTGCTGAAAAAACCAAAAATTGATTTTTTAAAGGGTTTTTTTTTTAATCAAAACAAACTGTTAAATCAAAAGAAAGGATAACATTTGCCTAATATGATAGTTCCAGATATAATTTAATCAAATTAATAATATAGATCTCAATTTACCATAATGTTAATAGTTGAGTGAAAAAAAGCCACAAAATCCCTTTTTTCAGTACTTTCACAACGTTATCTTGCTCATGTGAGGGGGACCCGCCACTTTCGAACTAAACGAAGGAAACGAAGAAGACAGTATGGTGTCTGTTAGACGGTATGGTGCACCACGTGAAGAGATGGGCAAAAGTCAATCTCATGCTAAAAAATAATAATAATAACATCTATATGGGGGGCTTTTGCATGATTAACGTAGAGAAGTGAGAAAGAGAAAGGAAGACACGATAGAGTGAAGGAATGTGTAAGGACAAATTAGAGAGCTTCAAGTGTGAGTCTTTTGTTTTGCGAAACTCAATCAAATAATAATCTTAAGTTGAGATAAAATTTTAATATATTTATCCTCTTATAATGCTCTATTTAGTGATTGGAGTCGATCATAAAAAATCTATAATGAGATCTTGTTATAATTTCATTATTTGATATATATATATATATATATAAAAGTCTTTTAGTGGATTACAGTCTAGTAATTTTTCTCCTTCACATCGAGGGAGTTTTTGATATAAAAATTCTTGGTGTCTTATAAGTTCCTCTTTTGTACATATTTTATTGTTATCTTATTTTTATTATACAAATAGGGGTTGAGTTTATTTAGAGTGTTTGGGATAATGTGTGTTCTAACCTTAATGGAGTGGTCTTAGGGCATTATGTTTTATAGATTATTCAACCTCTTTGTTTCTATCTCTCTTTCATATAGAGTAAGCATTGATAGTTATTTTGGGTTAATACAAAATTTCTCAATGTGGTATGCTATTTTTTCAATATTGTTTTAAACATGATAGTTAATTAATTTAATAATTTTTTTCATTTTATTTACCACCTTAATTTTAGATAGATTTTTCCTTAATTGATGTTGATTTCATGTAATACATAATTAAATTTGATAACTAATAATTTTAACAAAAAGACTATTTTAAAAGAGTATGAACTAAAAATACTATATGACATAATAATTAATAACTTTTTTAAATTGTGTGTAAATTCAAAAAGGACAATCTCTTTAAGACGGAAGAAGTATAAAAATAAAATTGTGTGTAAATTTTTTTTTCAGTTCAATAGAACCTAAAAACTTAAAAACCAAACCAAATCTAAAAAATCAAAATAATTTCGGTTTAATTCGGATCGGATTGATTTTTTGATTAAAATCGAATAATAAACACCTCTAGTAATAACTCTTTCTTTCTTTTTTTTTAGAGGGCTTATTTTGCCCCTAAACTACTAGGGTTGTGGCATATTTAGGCCTATGCTATCCATTGGTTAATTTTGACCTTAAACTATTATACTTTGGGAAAATATGATCCTTTTGTTTGATTTGATTTTATGTTTTCCAAAATATTTCAAAAATATTTAAGGTTAGGAAGCATTTTTTTCCTTAAAAATTAACTCGTTAAAAGAATAGAAAATAATTTGAAATCATTCCAAATTTTATTTGGAGGCTTAAAAAATCATATAATTTATATATTTAATCTCGGTATGATCCTCAAAATATTTACATGCTCGGATGCATAATATCTAATCAACTTAATATAAATTAATTTTGAAAACCACATATGTCATTCTTTTGAGAATTGCACTAAAATTACCTATGTCTATGATCTCCTTAAAGCTTCTAAAAAAAATTGAGATAATTCCAATTTATGTTTTATTTTTTATAATTTATTTATTTTTTATCTTAAAAAAATAAAAATATTCCAAATTCAAAAAAATTTTAAATTTTTTTTTCAAAGTGGATTTAATTTTAATTAGCTTTTATGAAAAAATTCAGATAAAAATACCAAAAATTAATATATATTTTTTTATCAATACAAACTGTTAAATAAAAAGAAAGGACAACATTTGCCATATATGATAGTTCAAGATCAAAATTAATCAAATTAATGATATAGATCTCAATTTGTCACAATCCTAATAGTTTAGAGTAAAAAATGCCATAAAATCCTCTTTTTTCAGTACTTTCATAACGTTATCTCGTTTATATGAGAGGAGACCAGCCACCTTTAAACTAAAAAAAGGAAAAAAGAAAGAAAGAATGGTGTTTGCATTTTTTTTTTTTTTTTGCTAGACAAAGATTCATTTGTTAAAGGAGTGCACCATGGCACCATGTAAAGAGATGAACAAAAGTCAATCTCATGCTAAAAAAACAGCGTATACAGGGGAGCTTTTTCATATGATTGATGTAGAGAAGTGAGAAAGAGAAAGAAAGACACGATAGAGTAAGAAAAAAGAAAGGGGAGAGAGCGAAATAGATAAGGGAGTGTGTAAGGACAAATTAAAAGCTTTGAGTTTGAGTCATTTGTTTTATGAAACTCAATCGGATGGTGATCTTAGGCTTGAGATGAGATTTTAATATATTTATCCTCTCATAGTGCTCTATTTAGTGATTGGAGTCGATCTTAAAAAATCTACCATATTAGTGAGATCTTATTATGATTTTATTATTTGAGACAATGGAAGTTTTTTAGTGGACTATGTCCCATGATTTTCCTCCTTCATATTGAGGGAATTTTCAATGTAAAAGTTCTTGGTGTCTTATGAGCTTCTCTTTTATGCATATTTTATTGTTATCTTATTTTATTACACAAATAGGGGTTAAGCTTACCTTGAGGGCTTGGGATAGTATGTGTTCTAGCCTCGATAGAGTGTTATCGAGTATTATGATTTGTAGATTGATATTACGCTTATCGTATAATAACTATTGGCAAGTGTGGTGATTCTCTTAACAAAATGCCCTCGATTAAAAGCATGCTTAGCATGTGGACTGATTTTTTTATTTAATACTCGTCTCATCACTCTCTATTCTAAGGTTGTGGCAATCGGGAACTAAAAGTGTTTGATGATGTGGGAGTGGGTGAATCCTGTTTATGGAAGTCTTTTGCGATTCGAGATCCTATCAAATCATACTTGTTGTAGAGAATCCCCACTACTTTGTGTTGAAGAGGGATACATGTCGGGTGTATTTTTATTGAGTACACCATTTTCAATTATTTTTTTATGAAAGATATTGATAGAGGATTACTTTTACTTGCAATGATTTGACATTGTTGCTTGAATGTAAAGGAAAGAAACTTGTAAATATGAAGGAGGAAAAAAAAGTTACCGAAAAAAAGCCATCGTTATTGTAAGAAAATTGATATCTTCTAAATCCGTCAATCATATTTATTAGAAAATAATTATTATAAAGTTTAGATGGTGCTAAAGGAAATCTTTACCAAAATTTTTTTCTCAAAACAAGGCTTTCAAAATAAAAAGACCTTATGAGCTTAAAGTACAAAGATGGTGAAGATGTTTCAAAACTCATAAATAATTTCTAAAGATCTTGAATCGAGTTGTCTCTAATGAGCCTCTAGCTAGACGATGAACTACAAGCTCTAATATTGTTGAGTTTATTGCTAGATAGTTGAGAGATTGTAATGGTATCTCTTAAAAACTTTACTCCAAGTAGAATGCTCATTTTAAAGAAAGCGAAGGATAGAATACTTAACGAAGAGAATAGGAAAATAGAAAGCTCAAATTGCAAAAAGTGAAGGATAGAATACTTAACAAAGAGAATAGGAGAAAAATGATAAGCACTTTAGAGCCTTACGTACTTGTTATAAGAAACTAGAAGAGAAGACAAAATAGATTTTTCTATAATAAAGATGATAAAATATGGTGATAGAAAAGGCAAATAGAAGCCTAGAGGGGGATCTTTGTGAAGCAAGGGTATGAAGTGTTATTATTGTGTCAAACCTGGATATATGCAAAGGGATTGTAGAAAGTACAAGCGAGATAAAAAAAAGTTGATGAGAATGAAGAACTCGCATAGTTGCAGTCGTTTACAAAGGTGATATCATCATTGTTTGTAATGATGATAGTTTAAATCTTGTATGTCAATTTACCACATGAATTTTCGATTCAATTGTTTCATATTACACCTTGACAAGATTTGCTCACATCCTACACTAATGGTGATTTTCGCTAAGTTAGGATAAAAAATCAAAGGATGACCAATGCTTGTGAGCATTGGAGACATTTGGTTAGAAACCAATACCGGATACAAGTTACTACTCAAATATGTTAGGCATGTGTCTTATATGCATCTACACTTGATATCCATAGGAACACTTGATGAAAAAGGTTATCACAACTTTTTTAGAGATGGTAAATGAAAGCTCTCCAAAGGATTGTTAATTGTTGCTAAAGGAAAAAAGGTAGGCCTCTACATGTCTCAAGCTAAGGCAATTATAGAGGAGACAAATGTAGTCGAAGATGTCTATATCGATTTATAGCATAGGCAACTTTGATACTTAAGTAAGAAAGGCTTTGACTCCTTACTAAGAAAAACTTTCTTCCATTGATAGGTACAATTTGAATACTCGCACTTATTGTTTAAGCTGCTTTAGTAGGTAAACAACATAAATTTGCATTTCATAGATCACCTCTACAAGGAAAACTTGAGGCTTTGTGTTTGAAATACAAAGATTAGGTACTTGATGTCTTCTAAGATTTCCATACAAGAATCGAGAAAAAAACTAGCGAGAAAATTGAACTTTGTCCG